TTGATTTTTTTACAGAGAGGAAGGAGGAGGGAGAGAGAGTTAGAAACATCAATGAAAGAGAAACACTGATCAGCTACCTCCTACACACCCCACACTGGGATGTGCATGAAACCAAGGTACATGCCCCAGATGGGAATGAACCTGGGACCCTTGAGTCTGCAGGCCGACACTCTATCCACTGAGCCAAACCGGTTAGGACTATACACATTAAAAAAAAAAAAAAAAACCTAAAACTTTTTATATGTATTTCAAATGATTCTTCAATATCATAATGATGTGTGGGTGGATAGCAAAAGTCATTTTTTCCAAAGGTAGGGGTATTCCATAGAAAAGCTCTAAGTTGAAGTTTTATTCAGGCAGGCCACAGAGAAGATTCTGGACCCAAAGGGATACTATCAAAATACAGCAACCCATTAAATAAAGGTTAACATCTTATTGATATTTTTTACTAAAAAGAATCTGCAGGCCTGGTGGTGTGACTCAGTGGTTGAACGTCAACCTAAGAACTAGGAGATAATGGTTCACTCCCAGTCAAGGGACATGCCCAATTTGAGGGCTTAATCCCCCAATAAGGGGGGCATGCATGAAGCAGATAAACTATGATTCTCTCTCATCATTGATATTTCTCTCTCTCCCACTCCCTCTCCCATCCTCTCTCTGAAATCAATAAAAACATATTTCTAAAAAAAGGAATCTGCAGAATTTCAGCTAAAGAAAGGGACTTACAGGGTTAACATAACTGAAGTGAACAGCTTCAGGAGCCAGAGACCAGCAAAAAGCGAGTGATATGGCAAGAATTTATTCATGCCATATCTATGGGAAAACAAGCACATTCACTTTCCCAAAGAGCAATACAAGATATTTAAAAAAACTAATTTCTGATCAAGTTACTTGATTATTATTCCATCAGAAAACAAAACCAACTAGATACATTTAAACCTACATTTTAATGTTTATGAATCTATAACACTGGGAATCTGATATTCCCAATTACTAGTTTTCTTTTGATGATAAAAAGCAAAAACCCTTAAAATAAGTTGAGTATTTATCCTAAAGGACAGCCATAAAGGGGAAGGTGATACAATCTTATAATAGAAAGCCCTCTTCCCAAGCTGGCTGCAAAGCCGACCAAAAGAACAGGAGGTGGCAACTGTGAAGAGGAAAGCAGGCTGAATCCCAGAAGAAACAATGACAAAAGTAGGCCCTGAGGGCTTGTCAAGAAGGTCCTGAAACATAAGATTATGTTCAGCAATTCGATTCCAATTTACACTCTCAGTAGAGAAAGTGATCTCTTTCATCATTCTCAGTTTAGATTTAATTTTCTTGACACCCTTTAAGTGTAGACAACATTTTGCATTTCCAGTTCAGAAAGACCATCAAAAGGTTGCCTCACACACAGTGGCTCTACGGAAGAAACAGGAGAAATATTTTTTGGCTTCTTTCAGAGTTTTCTAAGAATGCATTGCAAGAATTAACAATGACTACCTCTGAGTTTCTTTTCTCAAGGACATTGTCTTATTAAAGAGACAAAATATACTCTTAGAGCATACTCACTGCTCTAAGTGCTACAGTCGTTTTCCTAAAATCCATGCCACCCATGTGGTCTTTGGCCTTTTGTTTTCCACGTCCTATTCTTTAAAAAATAAATTCATTCTCCAAATTTGCCTCCTTGTTGCTAAAAGTTTATATGACTTCATATTTAACTCACAGGACTTACATTCCTATTAATCTCAAGGTATCTCTTTTTTTTTTTTAATCTTTCTCACTTTATCTAATTTTTAAAGTCCATTTTGTCATCTACTGATAAAACAAATAAATTAATCTTCCAATATGCTGAGTGGTAGAGCTTAAAGAAAAAAAAAACAAGCAAACAAACAAAAACCCACGGGAAAACAAATTTATCTAGGTTCAAATTAAAATGAGTGGAGGGCTTCAAAAATCCAGTCCATTTTACAAATTATAAATTATTTTAAGATTAAAGAAAAGCAAAATATCTTTTAAAACCAACCTGAAAATAAAAATGGAAAGTTAAAAGCCAGACTTTTTCCTTATTGAAAAGAAAGGAAAAAAGAAAAATCAGGCAGCAATTCTGACCCAGTTTCCCTGTCAAGTAAAATCTGTTCATCAGAAAATTCTCTAATATCAAGTCCCTGACTTTCCCCTTAGCAAGGTTTTATGGTTTATATACTTTGACTATAAAATTATTTCAATAAGATAAAATTTAGGGACCAGTATTTGTTCTTTAAAGCCCACTAGCCAAATAATATTTACCTAAAACTTCATTTGCAATACACTCTTTGGATCCATCTAAACTGTCAAAACTTTTTAACATAATGAATTGGAAAGCAGAGAGAGAATTTTGAGAGGACAGACAGTAAAACTCCATCCTTAGCCAGTGAAGAGTTCTTACTCAAACATTTACTCCTGGCCCTATGGAAATGTCACTATTAAAAGTCTTCATTTCTTCAAACCCTGCTGCATCTCTTTTCAAAAATCTATACTGAATAATTTATCCAGTATGTATTTTCCAAACCATTCTTTTTATTTGTGTTGTTGCTCTTTTTGTGGGCAGCTTCATTTTTAAGCAACTACAACAATACAGTGTTAGGAATTAAAAAACACACACACACAAAACTTGAGGCCAACACCATTTTCCCCTGACAGGTAATAGGAGCTGTTTCCTACCATCTGTCTCATAAAGAAAAGAAAATCAATAGCATTCTAACATCAACAAACTAATATGCTCAGAATAAGTTCTGAATATAATATCATATGGCTTTACTAACAAACTAATACAAAATTTAAGTTGGTTAGAGATTTTTTTTTTCCTGTCAAGAGGGAAACAGAATTTATTGAGTTAAAAACTCGTCTCTCCTTCTCCAGTGATAAAGCTTTCACACTCTACTACACAAAAAAAAGAAAGTGAACTTTACTATTATATTCCCTCCCTACTTCAAGTATCTCAAGCATGGAACTCCCCTCTCCCCCAAAACAAAAACAAAAACACCTAAGTGTTCAAAGCACAAAATAAAGCTCAAGGGAATATAGTAGCTAAGATGAGGAAAGGAGTCTATAGTCTTTTCTTTTTCTATTAATGGGGCAGTGTTATAAATTTAGGAGAGATGAGGAGGTAGAGAATATTAGTAGTGAATGAGAAAGAACAGGAGGAGGAAATAGAAGATAGGATGGGAGGCCTTATGAATTGCTTGTTTTCAAGGTAGTTTCAAAGCATTTCGTGGGTACAGGAGGCACATGTTCTTTCACTAAATAAAAGGCAACGTGGTAAGAGAAGCACTGTGTAGTCACTGTATTTTGCCCTCAGCTCTATCCTTCCAAGCCTGCCCAGTTAAGCTTTTACACCTCTCTCCTACTCTCCTAACCCTGCATCTTTTCACCTTTAGGTTGTGGTTTGGTAGTTTAAGTGAAAACATTTTTTTTTTCTAGAGGAAAAAAGATAGTATTGATTTGCTGGAAAGTACAGATGGAAAGCATTATCTTGAAGAGTAAGTGCTTCTTAATAGCAGAACTAAGGATTTATTCCTTAGATTGTCATGCACCACGAAAGGCTGAAAGAAGGCTGAAGAGGGAGGGAACACCCCCAGTGTCAGGAAGGTCTTTGTTTGCTTGATCCTGGTTCCATTGGCTTTGCAAAGGGGCTCAATTCCCATACAGGAACATTGCAGGTCTATCAAAACTTTTACAGAATAAGATTTTGTTTGGGTACTTTTATGTAGCAGACATTTATGGAACGGCCATTCTGCTCTGCTGCTGCATCTGCCCAGATTCAGCACGGAACCGAAATTCAAATTTTCATTTGTACTGGGCAAGGAACTGGACCTCCTTCACAGGGTGGATATATTTCCACTTCAATTAACGGCATGTGCTATTATTGGGGCAGGGGGGAGGCGGCAGACTTTTTTGGGGGGGGGGGGTGTAATTATTTATTTTTTTATTGTTTAAAGTATTACACATAGTAGTACATATATCTCCTTTTCCCCCCCTCCATTGACTTTCCCCCACCCCCCACCCCGTCGCATGCCCTCACCCCCATACCCCTACCCCCAGTGTCTTGTGCAGACTCTCTCTCTTTTACAGACGAGGTACCTAACCCAAGACTCCTGACACTTAAGCCTCTCGGAAGATGTTAAAAACGATTTTACATAGTGTAACAAGAGCCTTTATTTCGGAGGCCATCTGCTAATTACCCAGGAGTACTCATGCCGTGGGAAACCCGGCGCATAAAAGGGTGCAGCGGCTGGGGGGGTAGGTAGGAGGGGGAGAGGCTCATTTTGGGAAGGGAGCGCGGACTTCTGCTCCCAGACGGGATGGAGGGGACAACTTACTTTTAGGGTAGGGAAATCAGAGGTCAGCCCATGCTGAAGCAGCGGGGTCGGGGCCGGGGAAAAGTCTCCCGCCGGCACTCCCCAAGGGCCCGGGGCGCTGGAGCCCTCGGCAGGCGCATTGTCCTCCCCCGCCGCGGCCGCGTCCTCCACCCACGCTCCCTCCCGGCGGGCGGGCGGCCAGCGCCACACGGCCCCGCGGCGCCCACCTCGGCGGCGGGCTCCTCCGACCCGCACCTTCCTCCTCCCGAGAGAGGGGAGCGGGCCGGGGTGGCGGCTGAGGGGGAGCCTCGGTCCACACTCGCACAGGTTGTCTGGCGCGGGCGGAGGACGGAGAGGGTTAACCATCTCCCCGGGCACCTGCCCCCCTCAGCCCTCAGCCCCCCCAACCGGCTCCCCCGTATCCTCCCCCGAGCCGCCGCCGACCCCCAGAAGCCGGTCCGACACCCAGCCTCCCAGCCCGGCGCGGAAAGCTTTTGTTTTGGCCGCGACGAGAATCACGATCCCAGAGGAGGTGGCGGGGCCGCTGGCGGCTCCTCAGCAAAAGGGTGAGGAGAGGAGCGGGCGACCGCGGCGGCACCACGTCGCTCCCTCCCCGCCCCGCGCCCTCCTCGGCCCGCTCACCCCGCCGGGAAGACCGCACGCCGCCTCCGTGCTCACCTCACACCGCGGGGCCCGGGATCCTCCGAGGCGAGGGCTGCAGCGCCGGCCGCGCACGGCCGCCGATCCCTCAGGTAAAGCGAGCGAGCGAGCGAGCGAGGACCGCCGGCGCGCGCCTCGGAGCGGCCGCGAGCACTCCCGAGCGTCGGCGCGCGCGCGCGCACACACGCACAGCGCAGGCGCGCTGGGCACGCTCGGCCGAGCGGTGCCTTGTGGAGACCAGCCGCGCGGGGCCGACTCCACGCGTTGGGTTGTTCCCGGCATCGTGCCCTGCGTGCTGCCTCTCCCTGGGCTGTCCCCGCGGAGTCGTTCGCAGCTCTGCAAGCGTTTGTTATTCTCTGCGCTCAGCCCTCTTTGCAGCGCTCTCCTCCCCGCTGCGGCTGAGACAGCGCGGAGGCTCTCATCACCCCAGCCTATGAAGGATGCTGGTATGAGAGCGCCAAGGGCGTTGCAGGTGGCCCAGAGGCAGGTCACCGAGTGCTCGGGGTGGCACTGAGTGCAGGGAGAGGGCATGGTGCAGAGCCCCATGCTAACACAACCGCAGGCAGGGCACCTGGAATAGTACCAAGCCTCTTTGCAAGACCTCCGGGAACAGGTGGAGATGGTGGTTATTGACCGCATCCCCCATCTTTTTACTCCTAAGTTTCCCCTCTCTTTTTCTACATAAACAATGTTAGGGCTAAAAATATCCTTAGAGATCATCTAAACCGAACCTCGTGTTTCAGACGAGGAATAAACGGCAGGAAGATGAAGTGACTCCACCAAAGCCACGCAGCGTCTTCATGACGGCCTAAATTCATTCAAGGCCAAAGCTGTTCTTTGACCCACCATTTTTACTCTTCCTTTTCTGTCCCTTTCAACCCAGACTTCAGAGGCATCATTTTGGTCTGTTGGTAACCCAGGGATGCGAATGTCCTTAACCTTACCCAACCGCACACTGAAAAATGGTTAAAGTGGTAAATGGTATGTTATGTCTATTTTACCACAACTCAGTAAATGTTAAATAAACATTGACTACGAAGCTTAGCCATAAGTATAGTTTAACATAAAAAGATGAGCTATGGACTCTAACCGGTTTGGCTCAGTGGACAGAGCGTTGGCCTGCAGACTGAAGGGTCCCGGAATGGATTCAGGTCAAGGGCACCTGCCTTGGTTGCAGGCTCAATCTCAATCCTGGCTCTGCAGTGCCTGTGATGTTTCTCTCTGTGTATCTCTCCCCTCCCTTCCACTCCCTCTAAAAATCACTGGGAAAATGCCCTCTGGTGAGGATTAAAAAAACAAAACAACCTAAAAACGTGAGCTTTGGGGAAAAGCATAATAAGTGAGATATAAATGACATTTTCAATTTTTCTAATAAACATATTCCTGTGCAATACCATTAAAAAATAATGTTGATTCTTAGGCTGATTATAAGCAAGCCAATGTGTCTTTTTAAATATATATATATACTTTTTTTTTAATTGATTTCAGAGAGAGGAAGGGAGAGGGAGAGAGAATTACAAAAACATTAATGATGAGAGAGAATTATTGATTGGCTGCCTCCTGCACGCCCTCCACTGGGGATCTAGCTCGCAACCCAGGCATGAGCCCTTAACTGGGATGAAACCTGGGAATCTTTAGTCTGCAGGCCAACACTCTATCCACTGAGCCAAACCCGCCAGGAGCCAACACTGCATTTACTAAGGATCATTAGGAAGCAAATGTCATATGTGAAAAACTGTGCCTACTTTATAGACAGGGTATCCCCTGAAAATGTATACATATGTTAACAGCTGAAATACATTTGAAAATGAAATGTATTCTAATAAAACACTGCATTTATTATTATTCAAAGTGTGTGTGTATATATATTTTTGGGACACCCTATATTTCAAGATTCCTTGTATTTGCAGAGCCTGTGGAGATGTGCAGCTATATGAATCTTTATGTAATTTACACAATGTCCTTTGAAAACTGTCAGGGTTGGGACATATCATAGTTCACAAGGGGAGGTAGAAAAGATGTAGAAATTATCACTGAATGTATCAACATGACTAAATCTCAGAAATATAACAGTGAAACAAGCAAATTACAAGATGTAAATTATTATACCTGTTTATATTACACCTAGTCATATTGTTTATGAGGATATATATGTATGTATATAGAATTTAAAAATGGACAAGTAGGTTTCACAACAATTTCTCAGTATTGCCTTTAGGCAAGCCAGGAGGGGAATGAGATATGGAAAGTGTACAACAAAAAATGTTTCAACTGTTAATCACACACAGGAAACAAAAATGTTAATATTTTTAAAAATCTTGGTGGGACTACAAGAGTTTTTCTTATGTAAATCTCTAAACTTTATGTTTGAAATGTTTAATTTAAGAGTAATGTTGAAGTATTGTGGACACTGAGCTGGTGTGCTTACTATGAGCACAGGGTGAATGGTGCCCTTCAGGCTGTTGGCCAGGTTGGGGGTGGGAGGTGGGCGGTGGGGTCATGGGGGAGATCAAGAGTCAGACTGATGAGAAGCTGGACAAGGGGAGGCTCACAGGGTACTAGTTGAGAGGATAGACTAAAAGGACCTTATTTTCAGGGATAAAAAAGTGCAATGCTCTCTTTTATCCCATCTCTCTTTCATTCAGTGTTGTAACCACCAATAGGAAGGCTTTAATGAGCAGGCACTTCACAGAGAGACAGCTCTCTTACAGTACGTTGTTAAAACTGGTCTCTTTCTGGATGGACTAGTTTTGAAACCATAAATGTTAACTGGTAATTTAGTACTGCATTTACATACCTCCCCTAGGCCACCCTCCACCTCACCTAAGCCCTTGTTTATTTATATACATACAACCTGGTCATGTGGGGGGAAAAACCACTAGTCTGGAATTCAGACAATCTAGGTTCTAATTTCAGTTTGGCCACTTACAGGTCCTTAGTTAACTCAAGGAAATCCATCCTCATGAGCTTCATTTTGTTTGTTTGTTTTGTTTCTGTTTAAATTGGAGATATACAAATACTGCATATTTTAAAACTGTGAAACACAATACAAACATAGGGTTTACATTTGAGGAGAATATATTCTTATCTATTTTAGTGAGAAAAGTCTCTTTTTGCCTGTGGGGGAGGGAGGGGAGAGAAAGGATGTTTTTGTTTTGTTTTTGTTAGCTGCTGTGCATAAGAATTGCTTTACATTTACTAAGGAGCTCCGTCCTGAAATTTTGAATTTTGGGTGATTCTCCAGCACTTTATAGTTCTATCACAGCAGTTATCACTGGGGGGCCTTCGTTATTTACACATTGTATTTTCCAGTCCTCATTCGATTCTTTTTTTTTTATTTTATCCTTGCATTCTCACGCCGCCCCTGATTACATGGTGGATGCTCAATACATTTAATTAAATTAGACCGAGTGGTAAAATTTCCCACGTTTGGAATTATTCTTATTAAGGCATGCCATCTGCTGGTTCCGGGATGTCAGTCAGCCTGAATTCCTTAATAATCCGATCAATTAACATTCATGCTGAAGCATTTGTGAGTGTGTGTGCTAGGCAGTTTTCCCACGTCCTTCCACTTCCTCTCGTAGGTGCCATTCTTTATGGAGCCAGTCGGGAATTTCTTTTCCCTCCAGTCCTCTATTTACCTGTTGGTCATTCTTAAAACCCGGAGAAACGGAGTTTATATTTCGGAGGCTCGGAGTGACCAGAGCAACGTAATTGGGCATGCTCAGAAGGTTGGCCTGGTTTGGAAAACAAACGTCTTGAACGAGGGCTTGCAGTGCTGCTTGTTTCCGGAATTGGAGGCATCTGTCTCCCCTGCATTATCTTGGGAGATGGCACCCCCTCCCACCTCCTTGGCACTCTCACTTTTTTCGATACATCCGTGTGCCTAATTTTGGAGCCAGCCCTCCTGGATCTCCTGGCCAATCAAGAGGCCACACATTGTTGCCTGAGAGACCCCGGATGCCAGCGAAAGGATTTATAGAGGATGATTGGACTAATGGGAAGCTAGAGGGTGGGGGCTGGGCAAAGTCAAAGGAAAAGCAGCCATGGCAACACCAGCGCTTGAGGCTTGAAGAGGGGAGTCCAGCTGAAAGAGGTGAGGCAGTGGGTAGTGCATGGAAAAGATGGAGCCTCTCTTTACACAGCTCCACTCGCATGTCCTCCTGGGCCTCTCACAAGCCTTGTCACTGCTCCTGGGGATTGCATTTTGCTCCGTTTCAGCTGCAGTTAAAGCGCCAGATGCTTCATACTTAGAAAATTAACAACAAACAATTATTTCTATGCCTATCAAGTACCAGCTCTCTCTCTCTCTCTCTCTCTCTCTCTCTCTCTCTCTCTCTCTCTCTCTCTCTCTCTCTCTCTCTTTCTCTCTCTTTTATTGTATTACAGTGTTTGTTTTCTAATTGGTTGACTATAAGATGAATTAGTATTTAAATCTGACCATACCCGATTGCCTGAATATCTGAAGTTCCCTTCTCGAATGATACTGCCGTGTACAATGAGTGACTTGTGTGCTAGCAGAGAAACGCAATCCTATTCTGCTCTGTCAACTCCAAATAAAAACTTGATAATCCTGAGTATAATCCCAGTGCTCAATTCATAATGTTCTGAGTTTCACCCTACATTCCCACTAGTTTTAATCCTTAAACTGTCCCCTCCACTGTCGCATTCATTCACTCAGCTGATTTCACAAATACTTATTGAGCATCTATTACGTACTATGAGATTAAGATTCAAGTGAGCAGTCTCAGAGAAACACATAAGCAAAGAAGCATCAAAGTTTTATATTGTTTTCTCAGAGGGATTGGAAGTACATGCATCCAGGCAGATAGAGAGGAGAATGAGGCTCAAAAGATAGATTGGGGTAAATTCATAGTGAATCTAGACTTGCATGCTAAGGAGTCTGGATATTCTGTATCCATTAGCAAGCCTCTGAAGGTTTTTGAGCTGAAAAGGGACATGATCAAATAACTTGTCTTAAAAAAAAACCCCCCACAAATCTCCCTAAGTAGAATGGTGATCACCAGAGGTGGAATGAGGTGTGTGTGTTTGGGGGTGGGGGAGGATATTGATCAAAGCGTACAAACTTTCAGTTATAAGATGAATAAGTTCTGGAGACTTAATGTACAGCATGGTGACTAGAGGTAATAATATAATGGTATGCTTGAAATTTACTAAGAGAGTAGATTTTAAGTGTTCTCAACACACACACACACACACACATCTACAAATGGTAACTATAGGGGATGATGGAATAATTAAATAGTTTGAGTGTTCATTTCACAATGTATACATATATCAAAACATCACCTTGTACAGATCAAATGTATATAATTTTTATTTGTTAAAGAGGAAACTCTCTTAATAGTGGACTCTAAGCTCCATTAAAGTAGAAACCCTTACTTTTGTACCTCTAATACAGGCCTAACAGGTCCTAAGCAAAGTTGAGTAATGGTGACAGTATGAAAAATAGCTTGGAAGATGAAATTAGAGATGTGTGGCCCCTAGAACTTTACAGGAGGACACATCCTTGCTGTTAAACACAGATACAGCTGAAACCAGTTTGTCTCAGTGGATCGAGCATCAGCCTGCGGACTAAAGGGTCCTGGGTTCAATTCTGGTCAAGGGCATGTACCTTGGTTGTGGGCACATCCCCAGTGGGGGGTGTGCAGGAGGCAGCTGACCGATGTTTCTCTCTCATCGTTGTTTCTAACTCTCTATCCCTCTCCCTTCCTCTCTGAAAAAAACAATAAAAATATATTTAAAACAAAAAACAACAACAACAAAACATGGATACGTTGGGGGCTAAGGCCATAGGTCCTCTTTTTTCCATTTTTTCCCCCAAAGAAAAACTAAAGATAAACATTCAGGAACATGCATTAAGGAGGAAAGAGGTTACAAAAATAGCATCAGCAAGCTTTAGCTGTGGAAGGAGGGAAAACAACTTGCTTTTTCTTGTTGATGGGAGTGGGGGCAATTATTTTTGTGTATGTTATCTAAAAGTGTTTGTCTTTATAATAGCCCTGCATGGTCTATAGTAGGGGTGTCGAACTCAATCAGAGAAGGGGCCAAAATCTAAAATCCAGCCTAAATTGCAGGCCGAATGGTTTACTGAACAGTCATAAACTGTCATTGTGATGGAAACGCAGCGGAGTGCAGTGATGACAGCGCGGTGCAGGCCACATTGCAAGGCCTGGCGGGACGGATTTGGCCCGCGGGCCTTGTGTTTGACACATGTGGTCTATAGCGTGAACATGTGTGTGCATGCAGATATGCATTCTGCCTATTTTCTGGTATGAAGAGAGGAGGAAAAATTGTAAAAGAATGGTGACAAAAGACAGGGTAGGACACCCCATTTTCATGCTTCAGCAGGACTGTATTACCAAGAAAGCTGTTTGTCCTGGACAGGCCCATCTCCTGAATACCAATTTCCCTCAAGTTGATTTGAAGGAAGCCTTGTTCAAATAATTTCTGGCTTTGAGGAACCAGGGGGAAAAAAACAATCAATGCGGAGCCTTGGGGAGGTCCTAGAAAAGCTCTTTTGTCCTAATTCAAAAAAAATTTTATTTATTTTTTCCTAGCTTTTTTCCTATACAAAGTGGGAAGAGAGAGAGTTTCTCAGCTTACACCAGGAGTTTTTAACCTGGGGTAAGCAAAATTTTATGTTCATGTGCATTTTTCTAGGGAGGAAAATTCATCACTTTCATCACATTCTCAAAGAGTTATTTGACCCTCAAAGAAAAAAATTACACCTGGTTTAATAAGAAGGAAGGTCAAATGTAAATAAATAACAACAACAAAAAAGAAATATGTAACCCTAACTGGGTTGGCTCAGTGGATAGAGCGTCGGCCTGCAGATCAAGGGTCCCAAATTCGATTCCCATCAAGGGCATGTACCTTGGTTGTGGGCACATCCCCAGTAGCGGGTGTGCAGGAGGCAGCTGATTGATGTTTCTCTCTCATCGATGTTTCTGACTCTCTCTCCCTCTCCCTTCTTCTCAGTAAAAAATCAATAAGATGTATTTTTTTAAAAAGAAAGAAATATGTAGTTTTTAATAGGCAGTTCTAGACTCAGTGACCATGCTTTGTATCTGTAATTTGCCTACTCACATATACTTTTATAGCTGCCAATTAATAATACTGCAGTGAAGTCATTTCTTATGCCTTTGCAAGTTAGCCAAATATGTGTGATTTAGATAATTGGCTGTTGGGCGCTGAGAAAGATGTGAGGATTGATCTGAGCCCCCTTTGTCCCAGTGGTCTGATGGCAGCAGGCAACTGCCAGGAGGTATTGTCTAATGACGCCACTGAGGTTTGAAAACATTGGCTTTATCTTCACCTATAACTAATCTCTAATGCTGTCAAGTATTACCTGTCAAGTGAGAGCCTCAAACATTTCAGATCTAGCATTTGAGGAACCCCATACTAGTATAAGTGAAATCACTAAAACGAGTGATTATATTTTTTTAGTTGTCCAATATTTGCTGCTATGGAGTAATTTTTGGAACCTGTGGATCAGACAGACAAGCCCTGATCCCTTCAGTCATCACCACTGCCTTTCAATATGAAGCCCACCTTCAGGGAGAAAAGAGGGCAGAAACATGGAGGATATACATTGACACTACCATCAATCTGCTGTAACTGTTTCCCACCTTAAAATATTTTGTCATGGCCCTCTAAGGACAGGTATTTAGGCCTCTGTGAATGATGGGAAGTTACTACTTATTGAGGCCACCTATCTATCAGGCAGTCTACTGGATCCTTATTCTCTAACATTCACAGTGGCAGTTGAGTATAGATAGGGGTAGGGAATGTCCAGCCTGAGGGCCATATAAGGCCTGTGAAATCATTTGGTCTGGCCCTGCTAAGGCATTAGGGGTGTTTTAATTAAAAGTTTGACCAAATATAGCAGGCTGATTTTGTATGACCCATGCATGACGTTATAAATATCTAGCCCTACCTGGTTTGGCTCGGTGAATAGAGAGTTGGCCTACGGACTGAAGGGTCCCAGGTTCAATTCCGGTCAAGGGCACATATCCGGTAGGGGACGTGCAGGAGGCAGCTGATCAATGATTCTCTCTCATCATTGATATTTCTCTCTCTCTCTCTCTCTCTCTCTCTCTCTCTCTCTCTCTCTCTCTCTCTCTCATCAATAGAAAATGTATTATAAAAAATAAAATATCCAAATGGCCCTTGGCAGAAAAAGGTTCCGCACACCTAGTGTAGGTATACACACACACACACACACACACACACACACACACACACACGAGGGCCTGATGCATGAAATTCATGCATTGACGGGGGATATATCCATCAGCCCAGCCTGTACCCTCTCCAACCGGCAGTCTGACATAACTCTCACACCCTAGTCTGCTGGCTCCTAATTGCTCACCTGCCTGCCTGGTTGCCCCTCACTGCTTCCCCCCACCCCCTCCGGCCTGATCACTCTTCACTGCCTCTGTGTGCCGACCTGATCACTCCTAACTGCCTCCCACCCCAGCCTGGTCACTCCTTATTGCTCCCCTCTGCTGGCCTGTTCACTCCCAGCTGCCCCCTCTGCCAGCCTGGTTGTTCCTAACTGCCCTACCCTCTGGCCTGGTCACCCCCAACTACACCCCACCAGCCTAGTCACCCCTCACTATCCCCACCACCAGCCTAATCACCCCCAACTGCACCCTCCTGCCTGCCTGGTCTCCCCTAACTTCCCCTTTCCCCCCACTGGCCTGGTTGCCTCTTACTACCCTGCCTGCCGGTCTGGTCACCCTCAACTGCCTCCCCTCCAGCCTGGCTACCCCTCACAGCCCTCTCGCTGGCCTGGTTGCCCCACGCAGCCTGCTGTTCAGTCCTTTGGTCATCCATCACTAACCCCCCTTCCCAGTTTGTGATGGCATGAGGGTTAATTTGCGTATTACCTCTTTATTATATAGGATACAGCCTTATTTGAAAAAATGAGGACACTGAAGCTCAGATAGATTAAAAAAGTTGCAAAAAGTTATTCAATTACTAAGTTGTAGAACCAGAATCATACCCATATGAGGTAAGAACCAGAATCAAATGCATATGAGGTAAACCCATATTATTTTGGTTGTAAATAATAGAAATAGATCCTAGCTAATGTAAGCAAAAGAGGAAATTTATTGCAAAGATGTCCTGTGGCTCACAAAATGGACAAGACAAGAGGCTTCTGAGGAACAGCCTAGCAGAGTACCAGTGCTACTTTAAACGTCCACCTCAGCTGTAAAGTAAGGATAAGCCAGCATCAATCTCAACTGGCCTAGCTCTGACTTGTGACCAGGGAAGGGGAGGCCACTTTGGTTAACCAACCTAGCAAACTCTAAACAACGAGGGAAAGGCAATTCCTCATGGAAATTATAGTGCTTTCATCAAACAAAGGAAAACATATACTGAGCATTTAAAAACAGCACATTTTGCCGAAACCGGTTTGGCTCAGTGGTAGAGCGTTGGTCTGCGGACTGAAAGGTCCCAGGTTCGATTCCGGTCAAGGGCATGTACCTTGGTTGCGGGCACATACCCGGTAGGGGGTGTGCAAGAGGCAACTGGTCGATGCTTCTCTCTCATCGATGTTTCTAGCTCTCTATCTCTCTCCCTTCCTCTCTGTAAAAAATCAATTAAAAAATAAATAAATAAAAAATAAAAACAGCACATTTCCCTCAATAAACTCAAAGCTGTCCATCTCTAAATGCTTAGTGTTGGGTATTATATCACTCTACTTCTTAAATATGGTATCAAGCTAGAACACTTGTTATTTAGATGTCAGGAAGTTAAAGGGGGAGGAAGGCAATCACACGGGACAAGGATGGAGTGTTTCATATTGCACTATGATTTTATAAATTAAAATACCTCTTCTTTCTAAGCCAATATGGGATATTCTTAGTTAGGAGTGATTTGATTCTTGATTTTTCTCTGTGGTCCAATGAAAATAGAGTTAGAGTTGAGTTTGATTTCCAGTTCCAATCTGTATAATTATGAGCAGAGCATGTAACTTGAATGAGCTTCATTTTCTTTATCTATGTAATGGGATAAAACTTACCACCTCACCAGATTGTTATGAACTTTAATTGAGCATACATATAAAGCTCCCAGTAAGTGTTCTTCCCTTCATTCTCTTCTCTCAACATACTAAAATATTGTATGGTATTGGTATTTCTAATAGTCTGAATATTACATGATTCATTTCTTCTGACAGGTATAGTTGTTCTTATAGAAGAATATCCAGTCATTTCATGATGGCTTTTGCACCTCCAAAAGGCACAGATGGTCCCAAAATGCAGACAAAGATGAGTACTTGGACACCCTTAAACCATAAGCTTTTGAATGACCGGGTAAGTGACCAGAGCTATTTTATTAGTTGCATCCATGCCTGAAAGGAGGGGAAAAGTATTGCCCTGGCCAGGTAGCACAGTTGGAGCATCATCCTGATATGCCAAGGTTGTAGGTTTGATCCCCAGTCAGAGCACATACAAGAATCAACCAGTGAACATATAAATAAGTGGGACAACAAATCTCATCTCTCTCTCTTTTTCTCTCTCTCTCTCCCTCTCTTTTTCTCCCACCCTCTTACTCTCCCCCCGCCTCTTTCTTTCTCTCTAAAGAAAATAAATCATCCTAGCCAGTTTGGCTCAGTGGATAGAGCATTAGCCTGCAGACTGAAGGGTCCCAGGTTCGATTCTGGTCAAGGGTGCATGCCCGGGTTTCGGGCTTGATCTCAGTAAGAGGCATGCACGAGACAGACAATCAATGATTCTCTCTCATCATTGATGTTTCTATCTCTCTCTCTTTGGCCCCTTGAGTGTGGCTCTTCCACAAAAGACCATGGCCTGGGTGAGTCTATTTTGAAGAAGTGATGTTAGAAGAAGTTTAAGTTTAAAAAATTTGGCTCTCAAAAGAAATTTCAATCGTTGTCCTGTTGATATTTGGCTCTGTTGACTAATGAGTTTGCCGACCACTGCCCTAGTGAAACACCAAGTTCCACTTTACTCCAAGTCACTTAAAATCTTCCTTCTCTCTGTTGGGTCTGGAATTTGGTTTCTCCCAATTTGCAAGCTAATAACTTAGCCTGTTATTTATAGCATAGAAGACACTACAGTTTCACAGTAAAAGATGCAAGTCTGGGATCAGAGACAAAGAACTTTATTTCTCACGATGAAGCACGAGCATCATGTTTGTGATGGTTCTCCTTGCTTGCCTTGTCTGACAGGAGTGATGCAGAAGGCCCAGATAAATACCTCACACACCTTGGGTCTGTGTCATAGCTGAAGAACTATGAGGCCAGAGAATCCACTGCTTTTATAGTAAGCAGTAAACAAGCCTGCTCTTGATCCCAAAGGGAGAGAGTACTGAATTACTAAAGTTTTCCTTCCAATAAACCAGTGTTTCCCAAACTTCTCCCATGATCAGAATCATCTGGTGGAGTTGTTAAAATTGAGCACTAGTTAAGTATACAATTTTACCTAAGCTTAGAGTATACAATTTTACCTAAGCTTAGAGCACTAGTTAAGTATACAATTTTACCTCTATGTTCCAAAAAATTCTAGTTTAGCACTTCTTAGTTGGTATTCAGGAATCTGTATTTTAACAACTCCACCAGGTGATTCTCATCATGAGAGAAGTTTGGGAAACACTGCTATAAACAAAACTTGGAGAAATGACAGTCAGGGCCTTGCAGTCTTGATATTCCAAGACATTTAGGAGTGCGAGAGGCCCAGGGAGGAGTGTCTACCAGCACCCCTCCACCTCCATATCCAGTTCATTCTCAAGTTCTAGGAGCCTTCCTCCCAGAGCTCTTCATCCAGGCTCCTTTTCTCCATTCACATATACCTCCAGCTCCACATTCTCAGTTCACACTCTCATCACCCTTTGCCTGGTGCATTGTAATAACCCCCTAACAGTTTCACTGCCTTCGTCCCAATTTATCCATCTTCTATTTTGATCCCAGAATAATATTTCTAAAATACTAATATAATCCTATTATGTAAAACCAAATAAAAGGCCCCACTCTGAAAGGTAAATTCCAAATCCCCATGCATAGCATTGAGGACCCTTCATGAGTTGACCTCAGCCAATCTCCCAGTTCCAACCCTTGCCACAGCTTCCTCTCTTCCTATATCCAGGCCACTTGATGGGCCCCCAGGTGAGCTATCTCTCTGACAACTCCACACCTTTACATATGCTCTCCTCATTGCCTCCTGGGAGAGTCAATCAAATAACATTTTCTCTGGGAAGCCTCTTCCTGCTTACCTTTCTTTGCTCTCATCACTTTTTACTGACCAGTGTGTCAGGAGTTAAGGTTCTGTCTTTTTTCTCTGTCTCCAGTGCCTGCTGTGGTTCCTGAAACATAAAACATGGAGTCACCCTGAAAGCTCCCTCTATTGACTCTCACCTTCTTATGTCTGTATCCCTCCTTCCTTAGCCTGGATTTGACCCTTTGCCTCTCTGAACCTAACAGAAATGCTATACCAATAATTTCCCACATGACTGGAGTACCTTACCTTCTCTGGTCTTTAGTGTCCTTCTTTATGAAATGAGTAGGTTGGATCAGATGACCTTGAAGATCCCTCTCAAGTCTAGCATTCTGACTGCATGAAAGGAATTGAAAATAGATGCCAAGCCCTGACTGGTATGGGTCAGTGGTTATAGTGTTGGCCCTTGCAATGAAGGATCTTGGGTTCAATTCCCAGTCAAGAGCACTACTAGGTTGCAGGTTATATCCTGGCCTCAATCAGAGTGTGTGCAAGTGGCAACCAGTTGATGTGTCTCTCTCACATCAATGACTTTCTCTCTCTTCCCCCCCCCCCCACTTTTTCCACCCCAACTCCCTTCCAGTCTCTCTAAAAAAAAAAACACAAACACCACAAAAACCACCACAAATCAATTGAAAAAATATCCTTGGGTGATATTCATAGTTGGTGATATCGAAGTGTCCATACAATAATTTCAAGGACTTTTCTACATTTATAAAGCAGAGTACTTGTTACCAGTGATCAGTGTGTAATTTTTGAAGCCCTGTTTTTTGTGTTTTTTTTTTTTAATTTTCTTCTATTCTGTAGTAAAATGTGAAATATGTAACTACTCCAGACTAAAATAAGAGTCACAGGATTTTAACTTCATTGCAAGCTTTAAGCAGAAAGGTTGAATTCAAATTCAGATGCCTAGGAAAACAGCATTATCAACATAAACAAATGTAACAGATTTCAAAACATTTCAGGCCCTGTGAATTTTGAGAGGAGGAATGTTTTGAAAGTATATGCATTTCTTGGCCATCTAGTATTTGAATTGCAAGTAACCAACATTTCTTTTGAGTATGGTTCACAGATGTAGTATAGTACATGTTAAAGGGTATTCTGAGAGCCTAGCCAGTGTGGCTCATTGGTTGAGCATTGGCCTATGAACCAGGAGGTCACAGTTAGATTCCTGGCCAGGTCAACTCCCAATAGGGGATGTGCAAGAGGCAGCAATCAATGATTCTCATCATTGATGTTTCTATCTCTCCCTCTCCCTTCCTCTCTGAAATTAATTTTTTTAAAAAAATTGTTTTTTAAAGAAGGGTGTTCTGAGAAAAGCACCTAGTTACCATCAACCATCATTGAGGAGCTTATTCCCACACTGTAAGGATGTTACACAGTGAAATAGACTGAAATAACATAGGATTTTGATTTAACAGCAGGGTCTAAGCAATTGTGTTATAAACATTCTACGAAGAAAGAAGATCCATTTTTATATTTCCATTTTGAATTGATACTTTGTTTTCTAGTTCTTTAAGATGAAGAATATGATTGTAAATCTTTGAAATGAAGACTTGCTCCAACCAGAGACTATAAGACTCTGGCTAAGGACCTGACAATTAAATAATTTGCCCCAAATTGTATTTCTTTTTTAAAATATGTATATTTTATTGATTTTTTACAGAGAGAAGGAGAGAGGGATAGAGAGTTAGAGACATTGATGAAAGAGAATCATCGATCAGCTGCCTCTTACACACCTACTGGGGATGTGCCCGCAACCAAGGTACATGCTCTTGACCGGAATCGAACCTGGGACCTTTCAGTCCTCAGGCTGACACTCTATCCAATGAGCCAAATCAGTTTCGGCCCAAATTGTATTTCTTGTCAAGGGTAGAGTCAAACCCAGATTTCAACTCATGTAATATTCCCCTCCCCCACTTTACTCCTATTAGTTTCTACTTGGGTCTAGATGCCTTTTGATAAAGAACTGGATTTGCTTGACCCCTGCTTAGACTTGATCATTGGCCCTTTAAAGACTTATTGTTTTAGCATGAATAACATTGCTGAACAAAAAGTATTTATTTGAGCAAAAAGATTGCAATCCGATAGACACAGATTCAGGTAACAACCCAAACTGCACTCTGGAGAGACCAGGCAAAGGCAGGGTTTATTAAAAGAAGAAGGAGGAGGAGGAAGAGGAGAGCGGGGGGTGGGGAGAGGGAAGAAGAGGGGGGCCGAGTGGGGAGGGAAGGGGAAGAGGAGGAGGAGACCCCTACAAAATATAATTCTTTCCTGCAAATAAAGGATTGCTGGCTACGTTCACAGGAATTGGTTAGTTCCAACATGTAAATGAGAGAAACAGAAACTACAAGGAAAGAAGTAAAGTCTACTAGTACGTGTGTCCAAGTAGCAGTTGTTCCAAGATGTTTTCAGCTCCAGGATGCTTATAGCTCAGCCATTTTGGTAGCTTAGCAACATAAATGCAGCTCTGAGAACTGAGGCCCAAAATGTTCATAAGCCTCACTCCTTAATAGTCTTCTGGCTCTATTTTAAGAGACTCTCTTAGCGATCTTTATTTCATTTTATTTTCTCCATTATCACTTGGACCCTGCTTAGACTTGGTGGTTGGCCCTCTAAAAACTATTGTTTTAGCCTGAATAACACTTTCCACCTTCCTCCCTACTCCCTACTTCTCTTCGCCCCTTCAAGTCAGTGCCCCTTTGTTCCAAATGATCCTTTTGTCATTGGCCACCGTGATGGTCATCCCATCCTCCTTTTGAAAGGCATGTCAAACTGGAAGTCACGGCTGGGAAGACCAAGGTTCTAGGGGAAAAAAAACAAGTACAGAGTTGAACTGAATAGACGGTGTGGAACCTGTGATTTTTTAAAATCTATGAGTGTAATCCTCTTTTGCCTCTGGTTAACCTCTATAAAACTAGGAAATTGAGCAAAAATATCTCTAGGATTTCTCTGAGCACTAAAATGCTATGACTTTTGAAGCTTTTTGCTGTTATTGTTCAATTAGCAAGTGTTTTTGGAGGGCCTGCCACAGAACCTGTTGATGAGACTGTGGTTGTAATATACATGGGAAGATAAAATGAACAGAAACAACCAGAGAGCCATAGCAAACCCTGTAGAGACCAAATGGAGCATGCGCTGTACATGGACTATACGTTGGGAGGAGTTAGGTCACTGGGCATCAGAAAAGCGGTGGTGCTGACGATTTGGTTTGGGTGATAGATGACTGGTTGGATTTGGTTAGAGGGAGGAGAAGAGTTTAGGAAATATTTGAAACCAGATTTTTGAATCTTCTATATTCTATAGGTATTCTGTTTTCACTTAGAAATTCTGAGCTTATTTGAGGGTCCTAGTAGCTCAGGTGGCAGTGAATTAGCGGGGAGGAGAGGACATTCTTTTTCTTCTTTAATGTGCAAAGAAAGCCTACCTGTGATGTATGAGATTCTCCATCCAAGAGCAAAACTGACATTTCGCTGGCCTTGAGGTTGTAGTTGAACCAATTATTTCAGTCCTCATTTTGTATGCCCTTTGAAACTAGAGTTGAGAGCGTAAAAAAGGAAGGAAAGTGTGATCCATTAGAAGCATAAAGCCAGCTCCTAGTCCTCCTCTACAAAAAGGGAAGAAATAGGCCTGAGTTACTCTTCTAGTAGGAAAGTTCTTGCAGTGCCAGAGAATTTAGGAAGGGGAAAAACATTAATTCCAAGTGTTTGGGTTTTTTTTAATCATTTTTTTATTTTTCAACTAGAGGCCTGGTGTACGAAATTCATGCATAGGTAATGGGGGATGGGTGTGTCCCTCAACCCAGCATGCACCCTCTCCAATCTGGGACATTCTTCTCACAATCTAGGATTGCTGGCTCCCATTAGTTTCTACTTGGGTCTAGATTGCCCGCCTGCCTGCCTGATTGCCTCTAACTGCTTCTGCCTGCCAGCCTGATCAGCTCCTAACCACTCCCTTGCCAGCCTGACTGACTCCTAACTGCTCCCCTGCCGACCTGATTGCCCCTAACTGCCATCCCCTGCCAACCTGGTCATCCCTAACTGCCCTTCCCTGATGGCCTGGTCACTCCTAACTTCCCTCCCTTGCCAGCCTGGTCGCCCCTAACTGCCCTCCCCTGCCAACCCGATTGCCCCTAACTGCCATTCCTTGCAGGCCTGATCACTCCCAACTGCCCTCCACTGCAGGCCTGGTCACCCCTAACTGCCCTTCCTTGCCAGACTTGTCATTCCTAACTGCCCTCCCTTGCCCCCAACTGCCCTCCCTTGCAGGCCTAGTCCCTCTCAACTGCTCTCCCCTGCAGGCCATCTTGTGGTGGCCATCTTTGACCACATGGGGGCGGCCAACTTGTGTATCGGAGTGATGGTCAATTTGCCTTATTACCTTTTTATTATATAGGATTACAGTTGACATACAGTATCATATTAGTTCAAGTGTATACCCCATTGATTAGACATTATATAATTTACTAAATGTTCATCCCAATAAATCTTACACCATACATAGTTATTAGAATATTATGAACTATATTTCCTATGTGTATTTTACATGCACATGACTATTCTATAACTACCAATTGTACTTTTTAATCCCTTTACCTTTTTCATCCATCCTCCCAAACCCCCTCCCATCTGGCAACCTTGAAAATGATTCCAATTATGAAAGCTGACAGGGTGCATGTGTGGGAGTGAGAGAGACACTTACATCTGTTCATTACTTTTTCTTGTTTCCTCTCTCCATAGTTCCCTGCCAGACATTCTCACATAATTTTTCCCTTCCTCACTCATTCAAATACACATATACTACTAACTGATACTCAGAAAAACACCTCTACATCAATAGCTAAATCATTTACATATACCAATATATCCATAAGTATATTCATTGTCACTTTCATTGCCACATTCATTTAATCCATTAAACATGAGTACCTGTGATATACTATGTATAACACTCTAAACTAGAGATGGAAAGATGAATAATACATGATTTCTGTTCTAAATACTATATAACAACAAACCTATACAGTTAAACACTGAATGTAAGCACAGAGATACATACTAAGAACATGTATACTCACTAATATGTGTGTACACTGACATATAAAAATAGAGCTGCTCGTTCATAAACTTTATAAGTTCTCAAACTATTGATACTGAAATATTTGGGGAGAGGATCTCCATTTTGCTGTGTTTTCTTTGTCAGTTTTTTCATCTTTCAAATTCCAGATAAATATATATATATATATTTGTATTGATTTTTTTTTTTAAGAGAGATAAAGGGAGAAGGAGAGAAACATCAATCAGCTGCCTCCTGCACAACTCCTACTGGGGATTAAGCTTGCAACTGGGGCATGTTCCCCACTGGGAATCAAACCGGTGACCTCTCAGCGCATGGGACTATGCTCAACCAACTAAGCCACACTGGCCAGGGCTCATTCTTTTCTAACTTCTTCACTTTAAAAAGTATTACTTTTTTAGTTCTCACCCAAGGATATGTTTATTGAGTTGAAGGAGAGAGAGTAAGAGAGAGAAACATTGATAGGTTGCCTCTCATATGTGGCCAGGTAAAATTAATACTTCTTTAAGATGAATTATTCCACATGCAGAAACTGATAAAAAAGATACCTTGCCCAAACTAAAAGTAAGTAAAGTAACTTCTCAAGAATGAAATCTTTTATATTCAGTTGACACAATGAAAAGACTACTTATTTATTGATACTTTAATGCTTTCTTGTAATAGGTATTTTGAACCATGAATTATGAAAATCATTCCATTATTTTTAATTTATTGTAGGTATTTGAAGAAAGAAGAGCTCTAGTTGGAAAATGGGTAACCATTTAAAATATACTTATTTCTATATTTGAAACAGATAAAGTATATTTTTATAATATGTTATGTTATCATAGAGCCCAAAGAATTCTGTTTAGATGTAAGGTAATCAGTAATGATTGCTCATAGCCTGAGAAGTTTTTGTTTTTGTCTTTTGTTTTTTTAAATATATTTTATTGATTTTTTTACAGAGAGGAAGGGAGAGGGATAGAGAGTTAGCAACATCAATGAGAGAGAAACATCAATAAGTTGCCTCCTACACACCCCCTCCTGGGGATGTGCCCGCAACCAAGATACATGGCCTTGACCAAATTGAACCTGGGACCCTTGAGTCTGCAGGCTGACACTCTATCCACTGAACCAAACCTGTCAGGGCCTGAGAAGTTTTTTAGTGATTTATCAGTTATGGTTGCCAGGAAAATAGAAATTAAACCAGTTATTTTAATAGACATAATTAATGTTTTTAAATTTTTTATTTATTGATTTTAGAGAGGAAGAGGAAGGGAGAGAGAGAGAGAGAGAGAGAGAGAAACATCAATTTGCTGTTCTATTTATTTATGCATTCAGTGGTTGCTTCTTATATGTTCTGTCAACCTTGGCATATCGGGACGGGACGACGTGCTAACCAACTGAGCTAGGGCCCAGACATAATTACATTAAATAAACAGAACCAGTTAAACAAATGCTGGAAAACAGAAAAGACAAAAAGAGAACCCTGAGGTGCCATGGAAACAGAACTGCAGGAAGTAGCTTTTCCCAGCTTTACTGCTACCTTGGAAGTTCAGAAGAAGGGCTCTGTGGGGCTGGGACCAGTCCTACAGGGGACCCAGATTTATGAGGAATAATGTAGATAGCAACCACCTGGTTCCTCTATATCTGAGGAAGTGTGATGGTCCTGGGAGTGTGGGAAAAATTAGACCCTGGAATTAAGTGCTGCTGTCAGGGTCAAGAGTTTGGATGCTAGATTTTAAATTATGGGTAGAGCAAGGAAACAAAGGAGTAAGCCTCTTCCACCTTAGTTTCCCTCTAGTACCCTCTTCCCCATTGTCAACATTCAACACTTCTCTCTGTCTTCCTCTCTCTCAAGTAAAGATTTTTAAAAAATACCCATAATTTAAAATCTAGCTGAATTTTTCTCATTCTATAAATGTTTTTAAATAGCTTTGCATCTGTTACCAACAACTAAAAAGAGACTTATAAAGAATGACTATTTTTACACCAGCTATTGCTCCACTTACTAGTAGTGGAAATCCCTAAATTAATATAACCAGGGCTAAAGTTCACCCAATATTTGATGTGGCTGAACAGCTTCTCTATGTTTTGATTGGTTGGTAGTATTGCTAATTATTAAATATTTTTACTATCACCCTGTATAAGGTCTTCAAACATTTTAAAAGATCTTATGTATTCTTTCTTTTACCATAACTAATAGAAATATACAAATAATAATGCAAATATTACTAATTATCTAACTTCTCCAATAGACTTATGCATGGCGGGCAAACATGGTTCTATCATGCTCTTTGTTATACATTCCTTGATACTACCAAATGAATAAATGATACTCATTACTTTTTCTCTTTTGTCCAAAAACAAACTTATTTTTTAAATTTATGATATCATGTAGATTTTTTGTTTGTGTATTTCATGAACAACATAAGAGATTGATAACCTAGAAAATATATTTTCCAAAAAAAGAAACTAAAGATAGCAATTTTTCTTTTTACTTAGCATAAATTTGGATTTTTATGGAAACGATCAAGTATTGGTTTTAAAGCTCAAACTAGTCTTTAAAAGTCATTTTTGAAAACAATCTGGACATGTGAGCTAAGATGTAATATGAATTCTATTTAATGATAGACAATCCAAGAGTATTTTTCTATTTGGCTATACAATGTCATTTTTGTTCACACATTTACACATGGTCCTGATGTTCTGTACAGTAACAAACAAAATAATTAAAAGAAACTTAAAAGCTCTTACACTTTTACCATTCCATGTTACTACTTAATCGCTTATCACAAATCTCACCTTTTAATCCATTAGAAAAGACAATTGCCTCTCAACAGAAAATAACAGCAGAAGTATTTTAGTTGAAAAGAAAGATAACCCTGGCTGGTTTGGCTCAGTGGATAGGGTGTTGGTCTGGGGACTGAAGGGTCCCAGGTTCAGTTCTGGTCAAGGGCCCATGCTTGGGTTGCAGGCTCCATCCCCAGTAGGGGTATGATGATCAATGATTCTCTCTCATCTTTGATGTTTCTCTCTTTCTCTCCCTTCTTCTCTGAAATCAATAAAAATATTTTTTAAAAGAAAAGAAAGCATCTCACATTTTTCTCAGCTTCTATGTTGTTAACAGAAATAATAATAATAATATAAAGAATTTGAAAACAGTAGATTGCTTTTAACTTGCTGGAAACAAACAATCACAGTTAAAATTCAAAAGAGAAACAGGAAAATATTTTGTAAACTGCATGCTAGATAAAGATTAATATCTGGGAGACATAAAGAGTTCCTAGAATCAGTAAGAAAAGTACAAATACTCATATATAATGTCAATAGAACAATGAGAAATATATAAAAATATACAAATGGCCAATGAACATAAAAGATGCTCTATTCCACTAAAATCAGAGAAATACAAATTAAACAGTGAGATTCCCAATTCCTCCCTTTGTCTATGTGGCAGCAGCAATTAAAGAGACAGATTAACATCCAAAGTAAGGTTCCTTGGTGAATGGGAGAATATGCTGAAAACCATTGGAGGGAATATAAAAATGGTAAAGACGTTTACAAGACAGTTTGACACTGTCTGTTCAATTTTTAAATGCGAATATCCTTTGAGCCTGTAATTCCACTGCCATTTCACTGTACTAGAGAAATGTCCACATGGGGCCTGAAAAGGCACGTTGTAGGATATTGCAGGTTTTTTGTTTTGTCCTGTTTTTGTATCAGAAATAATCTAAATGGTATTGGCAGTAAAATGAGCAAACAGATCATCGCATATCCATCCTACCACGAACGAATGAGAAGATAATATGCTCTGGAGCTCATTACAGATCAGGATACTATGGCTATCTTTTGTTTGATTTTTAAATGTCTCTGTAGACGAACGGGTATATTCTACTTTATCTAACTGCGTCCTTATGGATGGGTATATGTGTAGGTAACTGCATAGACGTGCACAAGCATCAAACTGTGAACAGTAGTCATTTCCGGGGAATGGAGTGAGCGAGAATTGACAAGGAGGAATGGTTAAATAGAATTTTCATGTTTGATTATATTCATACCTAGCTGAAATTTTAAAAATAAGAATGTATTCCTACTTGAATTGTGAACTTGAGTTTTTGACAATAGGACTCAGAAACTCACATGAACATAACCAATAAGCAAAAAAATAACAAGCCTCCTTTTTTATCCTATCTCTCACGCCCCGTGAACTTTGCCTTGCCATTGTGTCAGATAAATGGACCGTCATCTCTAGCAACTGTCCTCACTTCCTGAAGCTGCAGCAAGTATACACTCATAGTACTCCCAACTCCTCTGAAAATAGTACCGTGTTTCTCTGAAAATACGACCTAGGGCATGGAAAGATAAGACATCCCCTGAAAATAAGACCTAGTGCAACTTTGGGAGAAAAAAATTAATATAAGACACTGTCTTATTTTCGGGGAAACAGGGTAGTTGGGAGTATTATGAATTTTTCACAATTCTTTTGAGTCAAGAAAGCCCCTAAAAAAGGTATTAAGCCCTAGCTAGTTTGGTTCAGTGGATGGAGCATTGGCCTGCAGACTGAAGAGTCCTGGGTTCCATTCCAGTCAAGGGTACATGCCCAGGTTTCGGGTTCCATCCCCAGTTGGGGGCAAGCAGGAGGTAGCCAATCAGATTCTCTCTCATCATTAATGTTTCTATGTCTCTCTCCATCTCCCTTCCCCTCTGAAATCAATTAAATATATATATATATATTTTAAAAGGCATTAAATAATTATAAAATAAATATAAACATAATTTAACATAACAATATAATATAATATGACAAATGAACATGAAGTGAAATACCATAAATGGTCCCAGGTGCTCCCCAATCTCACACATTGGATCGATGGCTGCAATATTACTTGAAAGATGATGCAATAGATGTGGGAGCTTATTGAATTCCTGTACAGTTAACTCTACCACAGATTATTTACTTTTTGGATTATTCCTAGCGCCTTTTAAATGCCAAAGGGATTTTCCCCAACTGTTAAGCATTCTTCTGAGTCATCACTTTCAATTGGTAGGAGTTCAAGGAATGCAAATTCGTTTTGTATTAGCCTACACAAACACAATTAGAAAGGAAGCTTCCTTGAGGCAAAGAACACCTATCACAGCCAAATTTAAATTGCCTTTGACCATTGTCATCAGGGAAATGGGAATCCAAAGTAATTGTCTTTTTAGCCTCTAAAAAATAATGTTTTATTGCTATTTCTTATAGAGTTCATAATAATTTATAATCCTAATGTTCTTTTTTATATTCATTTTAAATCACTCCAATTTGCCCCCCCCTTTTTTTTTGGTGGATATAAATGAAAGTTGATGAGAAAATCTCAGCCATTCTCAATATATTTCCCATACTTATCAATGTGCCAACATGGTAAATTTATGCTTTTTAATTTGTTACACATATTTTCTTTTTACATGGATTAACCCACATACTTATTATTTTTAACTTTACTATGCTAGTTTATTATAATATCTGCCATACAATGAGTCAGGCACTTTTTTAGGAACTTTATACATATACAAGTAGTCCGGTGCACGAAATTTGTGCAGGGCAGTTGCGGAGGGAGTCCCTCAGCCCAGCCTGCACCCTCTTGCAATGCAGAACTCCTCTGGTAATGTTCAACTGCTGGTTTAGGCCTGGTTTCTGGGCCTAAACCAGCAGTCAGACAGCCCTTTCACAATCCAGGACTGCCTGCATGCCTGATCACTCCTAACCACTCTGCCTGCCTGCCTAATTGTCCTTAACCACTCTGCCTGCCTACCTGATTGCTCCTAACCACTCTGCCTGCTTGCCTGATCTCCCCTAACTGCTCACCTGCCTGCCTGATAGCCCCAACTGCTGGCTTGCCTGATCACCTCTAACTATCTCTGCCTTGGCCCTCGCCACCATGGCTTTATCTGGAAGGATATCCAGAATGACATCTGGAAGGTCGTTTAGCTGTCTGGTCTAATTAGCACATTACACTTTTATTATTATAGATTATATTATTTATTCCTCTCAACAACTCTACAATGTAGATATAGTTATTCTTAGTGTATAAAAGAAGAAATTGAGGCTGAGAGAGGTTGTTAGTGGTAGAACTGGGATTAAGTAATTTATTTCTAATGAGTATTAGAAATAACAGAATATTGTAAGAGAGACTCCCAGTGGTCTCATTCTCAAACTCACCATCAACATAAAGCCACTCTTTCTTTTATCCATTTACAGGTTGCTTAGCTGATCCCCCACTGTTAGTCATTTTGGGTTATTTCTGATTTCCTACAGTGATGATAATATCTCATGAAAATTGTTTTGTAACCATATTCATCCTATGTCCTCATGAAGCTCATCGCATTGCCTGAAAGTAATTTAAAGAAATAAATTCCAATTTTCATTTTGTCTCTCTAAGATAAAAATCACAGAGAATCCAGTTCAAAACACTAGATCTCTTGCCTTTATTCCTCAGTTCTCTTACACTCTAAAACTGCTATCAAGGCAATGACAGTCTAAACCCTCAAACTCCCTGCAAGCCAGAACTCCAAAGCTCTTCTTGTCTCTTTCTACCTCCCTTGGCTATTCATATAGATCAGTGCATCCCCCTGGGCCTGGTTCTGACCCTGACCCTCCACATTCTTTTCTGGTTTCTCTAAATTCATTCCAATAATCCATCCCAGAAAGAAAGAAGTTAGAGATAGGATTGTGCAGAAACAGGGATAGGACAAATCAGGAAACACACATGAATACATTTTACTCACTTATTTGTAAATTACAGTTTTTGGTGTTTTTATTCATTTTAGAGGTTTTTTTCCCCCTCTTGAATTATAGTCTTCCAAGTGAGATTTGTGAGACATCAAGTAGATCTGTGATAGTGAATAGTTGTAATCAAGAAGTATCCCTACTGATTTAAAAAAAAAATACATTGTAACACTGGCCGGTAATCTCAGTGGTTAGAGCGTCGAACTATGCACCAAAGGGTCAAAGGGTCAATTCTTGGTCAAGGGCATGAACCTGGGTTGCAGGTTCTATCCCTAGTCTGGGTGCATGTAGGAGGCAACCAATGTATCTCTTTAACATCTTTCCTCTCTCTCTCTCTCTCTCTCTCTCTCTCTCTCTCTCTCTCTCTCTCCTCTCTCTCTTTCTCTCTTCCTCTCCCCTCCCTCCCACTCTCTCTAAATAAAAATCAATGGAAAAATATCCTCAGGTAAGGATGAACAACAACAAAAATACATTGTATGACTATAATAAAGTTGACTATAAGGCTTGGACCAAATACATTTTTTGCTTAATACTCATATGCCTTGTTAGGTAGTCAGTATATAACTAAAGTTCATTACAAAATTTGGATTACTTTATAATAGCTGTAATAAGTATCCACATGTGAAGTGAAATCGCATACAAAATACAAGTAGCCCCAAATGTCCCTGTTTTCTCTAATGGGCAAAAGAAGTGAAGATTTAAACTCCGGAAAAGTGGCTCATTCAGCAGGGAGGTGATCCTATAGGGCCTTTCTTTGGGTTTTAGCCAACCCTCACGTTCTTATCTTAGCTCAGCCACTGATCTTGGAACTGATGTAGGGTTATCTCTGGGGGAAATTGGGAAGTAACCAAAGTTTGGTGTGCCTCAGATTACATGGCATCTACCTCTTGTCTCTGGAATTCTTTTCATCCAGGTCCTCCTATTGCTATTTCCTCTCCAATCACATCAATTTTTTACACATTAGTGGGACTTTGCCCCAATAGACTCCCCTTCTCAGGGATATTTGCATGCAATACCTTATTTCCCACTGCGAATGTGAAGGTTTGTTTCTGGTCTTTGAGTTCGGCTCTTACGAGCTAATGCACCACTCTTTGGGAAGAGAGAGGCTGCCCAGGCACCTTCTCTTCACGTGGTATGTTATAAATATGTTTTCTCAGTTAATGAATATGGCTAGCTCCCAACTTACTGTCCTAATTAACTGCACATTCTGAGGTCAAGTGTACTCTGTGCACATTCAGATCTTGCACAGGTTCACACATATAAATGTGAGGAAGGGCATGTAGGTGTGGCAAAATGTGGAATTTACTAATTAGGGAAAGAAAAGCACGCCATTCATTAGGAATACATTACTAGACTCACTTTCTATGCCATTTTTTAAAAAAATATATTTTATTGATTCTACACAGAGAGGAATTGAGAGGGACAGAGAGCTAGAAACGTCAATGAGAGAGAAACATCGACCAGCTGCCTCTTGCACACCCCCCACTGGGGATGTGCCCGCAACCAAGGTACATGCCCTTGACCAGAATCGAACCCGGGACCCTTCAGCCTGCAGGCTGACGCTCTATCCACTGAGCCAAACTGGTCCCGGCTCTATGCCATTCTTTATTGCTTCTTCGTAATGAATCTCTGGAATCAGATTAAATCAGGAAGTTTTTCTATTCTTTTTTTCTCCAGTTTGACAAATGGACAGACTCTCAAAGGAGAAGAATCCTGACAGGCCTGTTGGAGCGCTGCTCCCTGTCACAGCAAAAGTTCTGCTGTCGAAAGCTCCAGGAGAAAATCCCAGCAGAAGCTCTGGATTTCACCACCAAGCTCCCCAGAGTGTTGTCCTTACGCATCTTTTCTTTCCTGGACCCAAGAAGCCTCTGTCGTTGTGCCCAGGTAAAGGCAAAGAAGCCGCGTGGGGCATTTTGTAAGGACAGCCTGGAACCTGAGAGGGGAAAAAAGCACATGTAGCAGGTTCTCAACTGATCTCATTTTGTTGAACTTAGTTTTGTTACAACGTTGATGAGAATCTGTAGGAACTTGACTTGTGGATATCAGCCCGTGTAAAACTGGTTTCGTTACATGTCATTTCACTTAAAGTTGCAGAATCTGTCGGTGACATTAAGTGAGGGCTTACTATACACAAAACCAATAAAGGGGTGCTCAGTATGTTTAGTCTGTATAGTTTGGATTCACTCCTGTCTCAGACACTGTGTGTCTCATTCTCTATTTGGTGCTCAAAATGGAAAAAAAAAAAAATAAAATAAAAAAGGAAAAAAGGAAGAAAAAATAAAAGATACCATTAATGTCCACATATACAAAAATATAGCTTGTTGGTGAGAGAAACACCCAAAAAAGAAATGCTTCCTCCGCAGGATCGTCTTACGTTGCACAGCTACAATAAAACCTGAATGTCCAGTGCAGGCCATTCATAAAGAGAGGCTCAAAATAAGGTGCTAATGAAATATACAAAAAATAAATAAAAATATGAGACTAAAAGAGTTCAGAGTGAGCAAATGTGCTCACGGATTTGGAAAAGAAGCTGACCATTATTTTCTTACAAGGAATTCCATGGTGTGTTAAAGGGTAGTTAAATTACTGAAGATTATAAAACGGGTAGTGATTTTGTTGAGTCTTCTCATAGAGGCTAGTAACACCAGACATTTGACCTGCTAGCATGCATTCACACATGTGTAAAGTGTTCACTTTCATTTTTTAAAATTGAGAAAATGAATTCAGTAGGAAAGATGAATTACTTAATGAAGGAGCTGGGAAAGCTGGGTAGCTATCTGAAAAGAATTTCTAGTAGGATAAAAGACTGACATGAAATCAAAGAAAACACAGGAAAGGAGGTCTTGGTGAGTATTCTATAATACCCAGAAACCATAGATGAAAACATGTAATTTAAATTATTGCTTTACTCATTATATATAGTATTTACTATATGTGTTTGTTTGTTTTGTTTTGTTTTTTTTTTTTTTTTTTTTTTTTTTTTTTTTTTAAATATATTTTATTGATTTTTCACAGAGGGAAAGAGAGAGGGATAGAGAGTTAGAAACGTCGATGAGAGAGAATCATCGACCAGCTGCCTCTTGCACACCCCCTACTGGGGAGGTGCCCGCAACCAAGGTACATGCCCTTGACCGGAATCGAACCCGGGACCTTTCAGTCCGCAGGCCGACGCTCTATCCACTGAGCCAAACCGGTGCCGGCTGTTTGTTTTGTTTTTTTAAATATATTTTATTGATTTTTTACAGAGAGGAAGGGAGAGAGATAGAGAGCTAGAAACATCGATGAGAGAAAATCGACCAGCTGCCTCCTGCACACCCCCTACCGGGGATGTGCCCACAACCAATGTACATGCCCCTGACCGGAATCGAACCTGGGACCTTACAGTCTGCAGACCGACGCTCTACCACTGAGCCAAACCGGTTTCGGCACTACATGTGTTTTATCAGCAAGAATAAAGAAGGCTAGATTTTAAATTGTGACTATAAAAATTCTCTGTATAAAAAAGAGCATTATAAATCCAAACAGTAAATAGGGAAAATACATATTGCCAACACAGGGCTAATTTTCTTATATTTTAAAGAAGGTCTATTAATCTATAGTAAGAAAAAAAAGACCACCTGGCCAGTGTGGCTCAGTGGTTGAGAGTCGACCTAAGGGCCATATGCCAAGCTTGTGGGCTCAATCCCCAGTAGAGGGTATACAGGAGGCAGTTGATTGATGATTTTCTCTCATCATTGATGTTTCTCTCTCTCTCTCTCTCCCTCTCCCTTCTCTAAAATCAATAAAATTATATATTTTTAAAATAAAATTATATTTTAAAAAGAAAAGAAAAAATAGACCAACAACCCAGCAGGAAAAAAAAAAAAAATGAGCAAAGGGAATGAGCAAGTAGTTCCCAGAAAGAAATGCAGATGTTTCTAAAATACGTAAGCTGCTTAGTCTCACTGTGTCATGCCATCTTTCACGATACAGATTGGTAAGTTTTTAAAATAATATTCTATATTGGCGAGGGTGTGAGGAGAGAAAAGCACTTTTATATATTGTTCATAGATAAATTGGTACAACCACCGTGGAGAACAAGTTGGGATCAATTACAATTTTTAATAATGATTCCCTTTGACCCAGCAGTTTTACTTCTTGGAATTTATCTGATGGGTATACTTCAACCTATGCAAAATTACGTCTATGTAAGAATATTGCAGCATTGTTTACAATAGCAAAAGTTTAGAAATAATGGAAATGTCCACCATTAGATCAGTTTAATAAATTCCAACCATCTCCAAAATATATCATCAGTGAAAAATGCAAAGGTGCAGAATTGTCCTACCATTTTGGAAAGATAAAGAATATATACATATTTGTTAATATAGACTTAGGATACTTCTGAAATGATACACAAGAAGCTGGTCGCAGTGGTTACATCCAGGGAGGAAAATGAGGGACTAGAGAACAGGGATGAGAGAGAGACTTCCTTTTTACTGTGTGCCTCTTTGTACCCTTGGATTTAGTATTGATGTACATTATTCTAAAAACGAAACAGTTTTTAAAAAGAGTATATCATTCTAAATGTCCAGTAATAAGATAGCCATTAATAAATTATTATGCAGCTTTTAGAAAACATGATTTGGAAGGACAGAGATACTTATGATATGTAAAGTTAAGAAAGCATGATTTTAAATTGTGTATAGAGTTTCCCAATTTTGTTTCTTATATACCTTAAAAAAAAAAAGGACTAAAAGGAAAAGAGCCCTACCAGGTTGTTAATAATGTTCATCTTTAATTGATGGGTTTTTGTCCATTGTTTTTCTTTAAACTTCTCAGAAGTTGCAAGTTTTCTACATGAGAATGTTACCATTCTAAGGAAACATTATTTGAAATAGCTATTCTTATAATCTACGGGCACCATATGTCAGTCTAGCAAGACTTTTGCATTGTATTTATTCTCAATACTGACTGAGGAAGACACAGATCATTATTCTTCATCTATGTTTAAAGGAAACAAGAAATTCATTGCACTAAAATGAGCTTTAAGGTGTTTAAAAAGGTATATTGGGGGGGGGGGGGGGGGTGTATCTTTTATAGTTTTGAAAGCTCCTATCCTTCAATTCTCATTTCTCTACCTTAAAAAAAACAAATAAATACCTTATCTACCCTGGGGGGGAAGCCTAGCTTAAATATCCAAGTTCTAAATAAGATCTAAGGAAAAGGAGGAAAAGAATGACAATTCAAACATTTTTCTCCCTCTCAAAACCTCATCTCGCAATTGAATTCTGAGTTAATTAATCATATAAGGATTAAGGTTGGAGTTTCATTCTGAGTTGGACAAAGTAGATCTGGTTTCTGTTTCTGCCTGAGGGGCTCTATCAGATCCTCTAACCTTTTTCCTTCTTCCAGCCCAGAACTCTTATTTCTTTTAATTGTGCCTCCTCTCTCCTGCCTGACTCGTGTTCAGCACATAAAACAGTGCTACACAAGTAGGAACTCAGTAAGTGGTGGATGGAAGGAGGGAGGAAGAGGGGTGATAGATAAGTAGATGTATGGATAGCAAGACCCATTATAGAGTGTTCTATTTGTTTATTTATTTATTTGGTTCAAAATCATTAACTAGTGATTCTTAAAAAAGAGGATCGTTTTCCAAGGATGAAATTTGGATTTGAATGCTAGTAGTCATCTTCGCAGTTCTTCCAGCTAAGACGCAGATGTCTAGTCTCATGTGGAACACACCGTATAGTATCGGTATTTGTGTTCTGTTTATAAAATTTATATTTAGTTCAATCATAACAATGAAGGGAAAACAGATGCATACCTTATGCAGACCTGAGTTTCTATAACTCTCATATAACTTTCACATAAAGTTCAGGAACCTTGATGAAATTCCAAAGTCTAACTGAGCCTCAGTTTCTTCATTTGCAATGTGAGAGTAATCATTATATTTACTTCCATAGGTTGCTATGAGGATAGTTAATAAGTGCTCGGTAAGTATGTGTTGACTCAGATCCTAAGTCTGAATTGGAATTTGAAGAAAACTGTTCTGCCCGGGTAGGAAGCACTTGAGGTAGGAGGTAACTATGTAAGCTGTGAGTTGGAGGAAAAGATAAAAAATGTTATCTAGGGTCCAAAGTGACAGTTTAAAACACAGAGGAAGTAAACATGTAATGTAGGTCCTTTTTTTTTCCCCTTCCATTGTTGTTTTTCCAGGTGAGCTGGCACTGGAAGAACTTAACTGAGCTGGATCAGCTCTGGATGCTCAAATGTTTGCGGTTTAACTGGTACATCAATTTCTCTCCAACTCCCTTTGAGCAGGGTATATGGAAGAAGCACTACATTCAAATGGTGAAGGAGTTTCATGTTACCAGACCTAAGGTAAATGTGGGGTAAAAAAAAAAAAAAAGGCAACAAAGTTACAAACATCAGTTATTTAGGAAGTTTAGAACTAAGACTACATGATCACACTTGAACTTGGAAGAGGGAGTTGGTTCAAAGGAAGAATACTATGACTTCAAAATTCTCTTCTGGGAACTTGACAACCCATGCCAAGATATCAGTGACCACTGAGAGCCCTCGCCGGACACTCCCAAGCCACCGATCCACTCAGGAAGTTAGGACTGTGGAGCTCCTCACTCTGTCCAGGTCTCAGATTTCCGTATCCCTGCCTCACTAACCCTCCGGCCTCCCCCGACCCCACAACAGTTCTGACACTGGGATTCTGTGGGTAATGTGCAGTATTTGTTACATGTGGATCAGCAAATTCCACTTTACTATTTCAAATATTCTATAATTCTTTGTGATGAGCTGAAGTATATTTTTGTAACATTTATAAGGAAAAGTTTTCCAATAAATCTGTAATGACAAGTCATGATGGGCATATTCAAGTTCTTTTTAAGCTGGAAGCTACCAGCGTAAAGCATTTACATATTCTAATATAATATATAAAGAGCCAGGGTCCGTCACGACCTAAAAACATCCAGATGGACAGCTGAACACCAAGCTAGGGTGCTGGCCAGTGCGACGGAAGTCAGTCCTGGGTCCCGGCTGGTGCAATGGGAGTCAGTCCTAGGTCCCAGAGGCCTGTAGTGGGAGTCAGTCCTGTGTCCCATGGCATAGCGACAGGAGGGAGTTGTGGGAACAGAGCCATGCTGCCATCGGACTGGCCTGTTGGTCCCTCCCCCTGGCCCGCAGGCTCAGGGAACCAGAGCCATGCTATGGTGGGACTGGACCCTACCCAAGGGGTCCCAGATTGTGAGAGAGTGCAGGCTGGGCTGAGAGACCCCCCTGAATGCATGAATTTTCATGCACCAGACCTCTAGCAATCATAAAAAGTAAAATAAATTTTTTTTCTAGTGGCTTAATTACATTGGTTATAATGCATAGAAAGTAGTCACTGTTAATAATAGGACATTTTTGAGAGCATTTTATTTATGGCATGGTCTGTATACATGTAGAGTTGTGCATAATTTTGTACAATGAATGCGTTCCTGAAAAATTGCGCATAAATTAAATTTTTAAATGATTTTTAAAGCCACAGGGGTATCATATTCTATGAAAAAGCTGCAGTGAATCCTTTTAAAATTCAAGAATCCTTTTGAAATAGGAATAGCCAACTTCTAAATTGCTCATTTAGGTTAGTTTTATGAAAGTAATATACATTTACACTTAGTATAGCAATAAACTATGCATAACTAATATTATCAGAATTGCAATAATAAAACTAGTAATTGGTGTGCTCCATGAGGATTTCTTTAAAGAACTTTTTAAAAACTGCATTGATGTTAAAGTTATTTTCAAAATTACCATAGCTATGATATCTTTTCTCGTAGAGCTTTTCTCAACTCTCATTCTCATTTGTGGGCAGAGAATGGCCCTCAGCAGCTGGAGCTTGGGTTTTTGTGGGGCAGAGGAGAGATAAGTGACTAGCCAATTCATAGAATGAAAGGAGGTTTTGAACAGTATATATAAAACTAACTTCAATGCTTTTTCTGCAATAGCTCTTTGTACAGAATATTTCTGTACAACTATATTTAAAATAATGACTAGTTCTGATGCAAGGAAATGGCCACCTCTTTGCTTAGCATTAAATGTCTGTAGAGGGTACTTTGTTATATTAAACTTGAGTTTTTCTGTTAAAGAAATAAACCTAAGTTAGAAAGACAGAGGTTAATAAAATCAACTAATAATTCTATTTCTTAGTCAGAAAGACTAAGTTTATAAAGCGTCTGACTAATGCTAATAAAGTCATCTGACTATGGTTTTAAGGTCAACTGTCAGTACCACACTTACTCAATTTGTGTAGCCCCCTCTGAGGCTGCTCCAGTGATGGTGCACACAGGCAGTCGCTAGAGGAGAACATCACTTACCTTCCCTCAGTTGCCAGCACCATCTCCCTTCCCTCCAGTACTTTGTCCCTGGCATGAAAACATTTTAAAAACAGATGGTAGTGATTAAGAATGGTTTCCCCACCCTTAAATTGAGACAACTGGACTAGAATGATCTTTATAACAGTAAAGATACACTATCTGCACCAAGAAACATAATTTCAATAATATTTCATCTAGAAAAAGAAGAATAAGTTAAACCCAAAGCAGATAGAAAGAAGAAATAATAAAGAGCTGAGGTCAATGAAATTGACAGATAAACAATAGAGAAAAATCTATTTCTATCAATGAAATCTAAGCTGCTTGTTTGAAAACATAAATAATATTGATAAATTTTGGCTAGCCTGCTAAAGGGGAAAAAAGAGAAAACACATAAATTACTGGTAGCAGGGATGAAAGAGGGAGGCATCACTACAGGTCCTGAAGACATTAGAAAGACAATGAAAGAATATTATGAACAATTCCATGTCCTTAAATTCAACAACCTAGATGAAATGGACAATCCTTGAAAACCACAAATTGCCAAAACAGTCTCAATAAGAAATAGAAAACATGAACAAATCTTTATCAATTTAAAAATTGAATTCTTTTAAAATTTCCCACAAAACTTCAGACCCAAATAGCTTTATTGGTGAATTCTATCACACATTTAAGGAAGAGATATCAATTCTACATAGACAAAGGGAAGGAACCCTTCTGAACTCTACCTTTATACCAAAACCAGATAAAGATTTTACAAGAAAACAAAACAAGACCACAGACCAATATCCCTCAGGAACACATATATAAAACTCCTTTAAAAATATCAGCAAATTAGCCGAAACTGGTTTGGCTCAGTGGTAGAGCGTCAGTCTGCGGACTGAAAGGTCCCAGGTTCGATTCCGGTCAAGGGCATGTACATTGGTTGCAGGCACATCCCCAGTAGGGGGTGTGCAAGAGGCAGCTGGTCGATGTTTCTCTCTCATAGATGTTTCTAGCTCTCTATCTCTCTCCCTTCCTCTCTGTAAAAAATCAATAAAATATATTTAAAAAATATATATCAGCAAATTAAATCCAGAAATTTATAATACATGATAACCAAATGGGATATACCCAAGGAGAATAAGGTTGGCATACTATTAATAAAAAATCAGTCATATTCATTTTGGCAGCACATATATTGGAATGATACAGAGAAAACTACTACGGCCCCTGTGTAAGGATGGCACGCAAATTTATAAAGCATTAAAAAAATCAAACAATGTAATTTACAGATTAAAAAAGATTTGTGATCATTTCAGTATAGGCAAAAGTATTTAACAATAAAATCAGCATACACTCCTTAAAAAAATTCTCAAAAAGATTAGGTGAACAAAAATTTTGTTTACTTAATACAGAAGTGTCATCACAGTTTTCATTATTACCTATTATGTTAAAGTGTCAAGCATTTTATATTTTTTAGAGTTAATGTGTTTATTTATATGTGATTACTATCATTTATGCCCTATGTTTTCCCCCTGAGACTGATTTTTATTATCACATATTATTTATTCCCAGGACTATTAAATTAGACCTCCTCCAGAAAAAGCATCAGAGAGATGAAATGAATGCCCATTCAAAATGAGACCTGCACAGACTATTGAGTAATAAATCAATAATGAGCTCTCAGAGATATAAATATAAAATGTTTTCTTAATCTAACAGATTATAACTATTCACTAAATGAATATATATATATGTATATGTATATATATATTTTTTTTTTATTTATTTATTTATTTTTTTAACTGTTATGTGTTGGGTACTTGAGTGCAATAATCCCAACCATGCTTTCAAGGAGCCTAGTCTAGTGGCTTTGGACACAGACAAATTAATGAGTACTAAGTGCTCTCCTGTAATGGAAATATATACAAAGAGCAGTTGAAACAAGGATAAAAAGCTAACTGACTCTGCTTGGAGGCACTGGGGAATTTCTTAATTTTCACAAGCAATTCAAACAAACCAATTCACCAAGCAAAGCTCCCCTAATCTCTTAAAGAACAGAAATTAAGCCTTTAATGGCTTCTCAACATACCAATACCATTTCCCTTAGGGCTACAACCACATGAAAACCTTAGGAATTTCACACACACACAGAAATAGACTTTCAATTTAGGAAATTAAAGCAAAAGTATTTGGGGGAGCAGATGAGGTTTTGATAATTGATAAAAATCAATAGACTACCCCTATATAACTTGAAATTGTCTGTATGGGTTATAGGTAATTAGGACTGGAGTACTTTTTTGAAAGTATACGTTTTCATGGGTGAATTAATTGCAGTTGTGGAAACCCTATACAATGATGCGGTAAAGGAGGTGGCAGTACCAGGTAGAGAGGTTCATTGTATGGTCTTGAAGCAAGACAGTCCTGGATTCAAATTCTGGCCCTGTCTCTTAAAACTTCAGCAGGCCAATTAATCGGTTTATCCTATCTTCAGTTTCCTCTTCTTTAAAATGGGAGTAGTGATGTTTACCTTTTAGAGTTATTGTGAAGGTTAAATAAAATAATGTATGAAAACTTCCCAAGACAGTGCCTGCCTGGCACACAGCAAGTACTCCTGGGTTGACGGCTGCTGTAATCATTGTCACCACCATCGTGGTGGTGATGATGATATTCTTCGTTTTATTGTTGTTATAATTACAGTGTGTTAAAAATAGAAATAATCCTTAATTGTCTTTTTCTAGACATCTCCAAAAGATGGGTTTGTGGTTGCTGATGTTCAACCAGTGACAGGCAGTTCTCCAGAGGAAAAGCGGTCTCCGTCATCGGCTTTCCGGTCTCCTTCCTCTTTAAGAAAGAAGAACCACTCGGGGGAAAAAGAACTCCCACCCTGGCGATCCTCTGACAAGCATCCAACTGATATCATTCGCTTCAATTACCTGGACAATTGTGACCCCTTCGAGCAGATCTGGCAAGGGTGAGAAGTTCCATGTCCCTCTTCCCTTGTTTGCTTTTAGAAACAATTGGCTGGCACATCCACGTGAAAAGATGAAAATAGAACTTAAGTGAATATACAAGTGCTTTTCCATACTTAGAAGTAAAAAGTAACAGAAAAGTAAACAAACTGTTTTATGGTAAAATTTCCCGTTCATTAGGATTTGTTTGTGTTTTATAGCTGTAACTAGATGCCCAGTGCATGAAATTCATGCATGCGGGGGGGGGGGGGGGGGGGTAAGGTGTCCCTCAGCCCAGCCTGCACCCTCTCCAATCTGGGACCCCTCAGGGGATGTCCAACTGCTCGCCTGCCTGCCTGATTGCCCCTAACCACTTCTGCCTGCCAGCCTGATCATCCCCTAACGACTCACCTGCCAGCCTGATTGATGCCTAACTGTTCCCCTGCCAACCCGATTGGCCCCAACTGCCCTCCCCTACAGGCTGGTCCCCCCAACTGTCCTCCCCTGCTGGCCATCTTGTGACCACATAGGGGTGGCCATCTTGTGTGATGGCAAGATGGTCAATTTGCATATTACCTCTTTATTATATGGGATGATTTAACATTACAATTTCTTTTACTTCTATTTTAATCTAGCACCCTAGGATTCATCCTAGTAGTTTTCTTTTTTCCATATTTACACCTCCCTTCTCTGACAGTAAGAAACCTGGCTCTCGTATTTATTTATTGTTCATTATATATGTTACATGTCACAAATATTATACATTGTACAGTTCACCCTTGAACAATGTTAGTTTTAGGGGTGCTGACCCCCATGCGGTTCAAATCCACATATAAATTTGATTCGCCAAAAACTTAACTAGAGTTGGCCCTTTGCATTCATAGATTCAACCCACCGTGATTGAAACCAGTGTTTTCCATCTGTTGTTGGGAATGCAAAGTAGTGTTTTCAATATGCAGTTAGTTGACTCATTCTCTCTGAAAATCAATAGAAAAAATATCCTCCAGTGAGGATTAACAAAAGACAAAAAAACACACCATAGACTTACAAACTACAATAGAATTAAATATTTTCTTATGGTTCTCTTTGCGTTTAGTCTGAGCATCTATATATATAAAGCTCTCACTGGCACCAGAGCTTTGTATATATAGTTAATATATAAATAAAGCTCTCGCTGGCATGTGTGTTTCCATCTGTCATTGTCGATCGTGAATTTGGTTGACACTTCTATAATAGAGAAAGGACAAATAGTGATACTAAAATATTTCTTCTAATTAATTTCCTTTCAATGTGCACAAATTCGTGCACCAGGCCTCTAGTATAGTCATCATACTGTGTTCAAAAGTTATGTGGATATGTTAATACCTCCTTCTCTGTGGGTAGGTCACATGGTTCTAAAGTTAAAACTATATAGAAGTATAAAAAAAGTATATAAAAGTATACAAGTGTATACAATGTATACGGTACTCAGAGAATTGCCACCCCCATCTCTTCCACTCTGCTCCCACCCTGTTATCTTTTCTACCCCATTCCCACTAACAAAGCTCATTAGTTTCTAGTTTATCCTTCCAGGGTCATTTTTTTACACAGAGTTATAAAATACATCATTTTTCAACTATCTGGCAAACTTTAAAGTTTGGTAATATGTTCTGATGGTGAGGCTGTGAGCAAACGCTGGTAGAATTTATTTATAGCTGGTGGAAATATAAATTGGTACAGACTCTATGGAAGAAAACTTGACAATATTCAGCAAGAATACATATATATTTACACTTTGACCCAGCAATTCTACTTGTAGGAATCAATGTTGAAAATACTAAAAATGCATCTGCACAAGGATATTTATTGCAACATTGTAATATTAAAATATTGGAAATAACTTAAATGGCTATACATAGGAGAGTATTTGTTGAATAAATCATGTATGGTCTATTCACACAATGGAGCATGAGGCAACTGTAAAATGAATGGGGAAAATTTTTTTTTAAAATATATTTTATTGATTCTGTACAGAGAGGAAGGGAGAGAGATAGAATTAGAAACATCGATGAGAGTCATTGATCAGTTGCCTCTTGCACACCCCTACTGGGGATATTCCCGCAATCAAGGTACATGCCCTTGACCGGAATCAGACCCGGGACCCTTCAGTCCCCAAGCCGATGCTCTATCCATTGAGCCAAACCGGTCTCGGCTGAATGGGGAAGATTTCTACTTATTTTGGTAATTCTCTGATTATACATTGCATACACTTCTTGTGTATTTTTTAAATACTTTTTTTATACTTTTACATAGTTTTTACTTTATTTATTTATTTATTTATTTATTTATTTATTTTAATATATGTTATTGATTTTTTACAGAGAGGAAGGGAGAGAGACAGAGAGCTAGAAATGAGAGAGAAACATTGACCAGCTGCCTCTTGCACACCCCCCACTGGGGATGTGCCCGCAACCAATGTACATGCCCCTGACCGGAATTGAACCTGATACCTTTCAGTCCACAGACTGACGCTCTACCACTGAGCCAAACCGGTTTCGGCCATAGTTTTTACTTTAGAACCATGTGATGTACCCACAGAGAAGGAGGTATTAACATACCCACATAACTTTTGAACACAGTATACTCAAATTGCAAAGGAGTATTTATAATATTCCACCCCTATATAGAAAGAAAAAAAAGTAGGAAAACATAGATCTGTATCTACGTATACATATGTATCTGTTCATTTAACACACTCATGCACATACAAAAGATAAACAAAAATGAAGAAAACAAATTTTGAAATATCTGAATGTTTCAATACATCTGCTATATTTTTAGAATGTATTTCAACAGATTAACACCAAGGCAGCATAGGATAGTGGTGATGTACAGGCTCTAGAGCCATACTGCAAATCCAGGCTCCCATACTTCTTTTTAAAAATATATAAATATTTTATTGATTTTTTTTTTTTACAGAGTGGAAGGAAGAGGGATAGAGAGCTAAAAACATCAATGGGAGAGATACATCGACCAGCTCCCTCCTGCACACCCCCTACTGGGGATGTGCCCGCAACCAATGTACATACCCTTGACTGAAATCGAACCTGGGACCTTTCAGTCTTTCAGTCTGCAGGCTGACACTCTATCTACTCAGGCTCCCAAACTTCTAACTGTGTGACTGGGGGACTCCCTTAACCTCTCTGTGCCTCTGTTCCCACATTTGTAAAATGGCAATAACACTGTTACCTAAGTTATAGGATCTATTCATCAACATAGACCAGATGCTCAGACTCTTCAAAGAGTCAGTGTCATGGGCGGGGAGGGGGAGAGCAAGGAGAAAGAGGTGGGAAGAATATTCTATTGGGTCGGCAACTAGGTAATTGCGGGTTTCACACATATATGGCTTCAGTTGAATTTTTAGGTTTGCAGACGTAGTACAAAATATAAAACACATTTTTTTATTTGATAGTTGGCTATTCAGCTGTTAATCAGTAGAAAAAGTTTTTTGATCTGTTTTGTAGTTTTCGTTTGGCGTTCGTTGAAAAATGGAAAATCAAAAGGAACATTTTCGTCATATTTTGCTTTTTTATTTCCGCAAAGGGAAAAACGCATCGCAAGCTCATAAAAAGTTATGTGCTGTTTATGGTGACGAAGCCTTAAAAGAACGGCAGTGTCAAAATTGGTTTGCCAAATTTCGTTCTGGTGATTTTTCACTCAAAGATGAAAAACGCTCTGGTCGTCCAGTTGAAGTTGATGACGCCCTAATCAAAGCAATAATCAATTCGGACTGTCACAGTACAACACGTGAGATTGCAGAGAAGCTTCATGTATCACATACATGCATTGAAAATCACCTAAAACAACTTGGCTATGTTCAAAAACTCGATACATGGCTTTCCTCACGAACTGAAAGAATCACAGTTAACGCAACGCATTAGCAGCTGCGATTTGCTAAAGAAACGTAATGAAAATGATCCATTTTTAAAACGACTGATAACTGGCGATGAAAAATGGGTTGTTTACAACAATATCAAGTGGAAAAGATCGTGGAGCAAGCCAGGTGAACCAACTCAAACAACATCAAAAGCTGATATTCATCAAAAGAAGGTTTTGTTATCAGTTTGGTGGGATTACAAAGGAATTGTCTACTTTGAACTCTTACCACTCAACCGAACGATCAATTCTGATGTCTACATTGAACAACTAACGAAATTAAACAATGCAGTTGAAGAAAAGCGGCCCGAATTGACAAATCGAAAAGGTGTTGTATTCCATCATGACAATGCAAGGCCACACACATCTTTGGTCACTCGGCAAAAATTAATGGAGCTTGGTTGGGATGTTTTGCCAAATCCACCATATAGTCCTGACCTTGCACCATCTGATTACTTTTTGTTTCGATCTTTACAAAACTCCTTGAATGGTAAAAATTTCAATAATGATGATGATGTCAAATCGTACCTGATTCAGTTTTTTGCTAATAAAAACCAGAAGTTTTTTGAACGTGGGATTATGATGCTGCGCGAAAGATGCCAAAAGGTCATTGATCAAAATTGGCAATACATTACAGAATAAAGTTATTTAGTTCCATGAAAAAATTGTCTTTGAATTTCTTTAAAAAATCCGCAATTACGTAGTTGCCGACCCAATATAACATAAGAGACATAACAACCAAATTCATTTTGAATCTCGATGGAATTCTGGTTCAAAAAATAAGGACTTTAATAGGCATTCTTGGGGCAATTTGATATAGACTGGGAATTAAATGATTTTAAGGAAATACTATTCATTTTCTGAGGTATGTTGATAACTAGTGTGGTTAGGTAGGCAAATATTTTTATCTTAGGAGATGAGTGTTGAAGTATTTAGGGGGAAGTGTAGGCAATTTACTTTCTTACACTGTGACAAATATATACGTATGTATAGATGGTGTGTGTTCATATATGTATCTATACAAAGGGATAAAGCAAAATATTATCAATTGTTGAATTTAGTTGAAGAATATATGGATAATCACCATACTATTCTTTCAACTACTCTTTTTTTTAAAAATATATTTTATTTATTTTGTACAGAGAGGAAAGGAGAGAGATAGAGAGCTAGAAACATCGATGAGAGAGAGTCATCGAACAGCTGCCTCTTGCACACCCCCTACTGGGGATATGCCCGCAACCAAGGTACATGCCCTTGACGGGAATCGAACCCGGGTCCTTTCAGTCCCCAAGGCGACGCTCTATCCATTGAGCCAAACTGGTCTAGGCTCAACTATTCTTTATGTTTGAAATTTCTTAATTAAAAGCTGGGGGAAGTTTTTTAAAAATATATTTTTATTGATTTCAGAGAGGAAGGGAAAAGGAAAGAGCGATAGAAACATTAATGATGACAGAGAATCATTGATCAGCTGCCTCCTACACCCTCTTCCCCCACTGAGGATCCAGCCCTCAACCAGGCATGTGTCCTTGACTGGAATTGGACCCTTCAGTCCACAGGCCAACGGAAAGCTAGGGGAAATTTTTGAACATTAAGCAGCAAGAAATATTCAGCAAAACTGATCTTTTAAAATAAAATTTTATAATGGAAGTTCAAGTATGTACAAAAGTAGAGAGACTAGAACCCCTTGTAACCATCTCCCAGCAGTAACAGGTTTCAACTCCTGACCAATTTCATTTCATTTATTCCTTACCACTCTGCCCTTCCCTCAGGTTATTTTTGAGACAAAATCCAAAAGTCATACATTTTCATTCATACATGTTTTGGTGTTTTGTCCCTTAGGATATATTCTATTAAGAATATTCAAACAGCCTAGCTAGCATGGCTCAGTGGTTGAACATAGACCCGTCCACCAAGAGGTCATGGTTTGATTCCAGCCAGGGCACTTAGGTTGCGGGCTTGATTCCCAGTGTGGGGCATGCAGGAGGCAGCTGAACAATGATTCTCTCTCATCATCGATGTTTCTATCTCTCTCTCCCTCTCCCCTCCTCTCTCTGAAATCAATAAAAATGTAATATTCTTTTAAAAAGAATATTCAGACAAATTACTGTGTTAAAGTCCCATAAAGAAATTATTCTGTGTATGCTAATGCCCCAACTCAACAGACAAGATTATTTGTTTTATTTTGTTTTTGATTTTAGGGATTTTCATCCTTTGTTTTTATTTTTAAAATTTAAGAAAAATTGAGGTGGTTCCAAAGTAAAAGACAAAACAAAGCCAAGTATATGTGGAGAAGTCTAGCTTCTGCTCCTCCCCTTCCATACTGTTCCTCATGACTGATTGGGTCACATGGGAATCCATTTTTGGGTAACCATTTTTCAAAATGCTATGCTGTAATCCTTCTATTTGAGAAAACATAAATAAATACACACATGCGTGCCGCACACACACACACACACTTAAAAAAATAATAATAATAGCATACAATATGTACCACTTCACTCACTTTTCCTTTTCTCATGTGACACTGTATCCTGGAGATCACTCCACAGTTGTATCACAAATATTCTGCCTTCCTTTTTACAGCTTATAACACTTCATTGTGTGGGTGTAGAGTTTATTTAACCAGCTCTCTATTGATGGACATTTGGCTTGCTTCCAGATGAGTGAAGATAATCTTTTAAGTCCTAGTAACAACAAAGTCAAATGGCCAAAGTTTTAAAATGAGTATTTGTCATTTCTCCAATGCCCTCCAACATACAGAAGAAAGAAAAGACATGAAACGACCCCAGATTCCAGCCGACAGTCACATGATAAGAAAAATAAACTGCGGGACAGATCTAAGCTAAGAAAAGCACAGTCGCTGGTGAGTATTGCTTTCAAAAGATTCTCCACCAAAGCCATAGCCAGTTTGGCTCAGTGGAAAGAGCATCAGCCCGCGGCCTGATGAGTCCCAGGTTCGATTTCAGCCAAGGGCATGTACCTTGGTTGTAGGTTTCCTGGCCCTGGTCTCAGTATGTGCAGGAGGCAACCAATTGATGTGTCTCTCACCCTGATGTTTCACTCTCTGTAAAAAAATCAATGAAAAAATATCCTCAGAGAGGATTAACAAAACAAACAAACAAAAATTCCCCACCATAATGTTAATGAAAAGCTCTTGGGTCTCTAATCCTGTTTGTGAAACTGAATTTGGGTGTGTTTTTTTTAATTAGAATCAAGCGGTGGTTTAAATCCTGGTCTCTGGAAGGGACTGACCAGCTGTGTAATCTTGAAGATGCCCTTCACTTAATCTTCTGGGCCTTGTTTTCTCCTCTGTTTAAAACAAAACAAAAAGACTAGATGAACTGATGTGTATGAATCTGCTTTGAGAACTATACAATATAAAGGGAACATCCTTATCATTTCGGTTTTCCTTCTGCTATGAGCCCTTTGGTGGGGGTGCTATAGAAATTTCTCTACAGAAATCACTGCTCTATAGAGTGAAGGTTCCACTGACCTAAGAAAAAGGTGCACTTTCCTGCTACCAGTGGAGTATGATCACAATGGTGCATTTCAAGTAACTGCAGAAAAAATGAACTCAGAACTTTTCTCTCCCTAATGAAAAAAATAGCTACTTGGTGACCTAATAAAGTCAGTAATTGTGTCCAGGGAACATTATCATTTCATGGCAGAGTTTTCCAAACTGATTCTATAGCCCCAATGGATCCCTTTGAGCACATGAGTCTTTGGTGCAAGGTAGAAGGGAATAAGAAGGGAATCAAAAGTTCACATTATTAGTAAAGATTTAGAAGAAGAAAAAAAAAGCAGCTGAGGATACACACTGAAGGCAAATGAATATAAAATGAATGTGAATTGGGAGGAGAAAAAGTAGGTACTCGTGAGTAAATCACTTTGATAGCTCTGCTTTAAAGCCCTATTACTTTCCATTTAAATTTATTTTCAAGTGTTATTATATTCAAAAAAGAGAGAGTGAGATGAGCTTTTTCAAATAGGGCTATTTGTATTCTGAGGGACCAGTTTTGTTGGGCTGGATGAGGATTATCACAGGCAGATGTGCAAATGCCCGAGGGAATGGGGATGCTTAAAGCAGAGCAGTAAAATTGTCAGTGAAAACCATTAATCGAGAGAAATAACTTTATGAGGCTTTATCACACAGGCCATTCAGACATGCTCCTGTCTGGTTTCCCGGCCTCTCCTAAGCCAGGAGGACAAGAGCGATCTGGGGGAGATGAGGGAATTGAAGGACGATAAAAATTGATGGTAATGTATGCTTACGAATGATCAGCACAAACATTTCTCTGGCTTAAGAAGGAACAGAACAACAAAAACCAAAGGCTAAACAGAAGCCTTCTCCGCGGGCTTTTGACATTAACCATCTGTCACATGTTAGCAGGGCTTGCTTAAGTTGAAATATTTGTTATAAATGAAAAACTTTAAAAGTTGCACTGCTAATTAAAGCCCCAAAGGGAAACCAGGACAGATTAAACAACGATAAAGAACTATTATGCTATGAATAAATAAAGTTTGTGACTGTATTGATCTACTTGTATTGTTTATGTAACTATACTAATTACAATCACTATTTATGTTTAGTAGTTTTGCTGAGGAGCACAGGCATAATCAAACCTTCCAAAAGTACGTGGAGGTCTTGGTCTGGGTGACGATGCACATTATAACTGGCTGTGAGTGTGGCCAAGGCCCCCTCTCCATGAGGTAGCAGTTTGCCCTCACTGTAAGCAACCTCCGCCGAAACCAGTTTGGCTCAGTGGGTAGAGTGTCAGCCTACGGACTGAAAGGCTCCAGGTTCAATTCCAGTCAAGGACATGTACTACGTTAGTTGTGGGTGCATCCCCAGTAAGGGGTGTTCAGGAGGTAGCTGATTGATGTTTCTTTTTCATCAATGTTTCTGACTCTCTCCTTTCCTCTCTGTAAAAAATCAATAAAATATATATTTTTTTAAAAGAAATAAGCAACCTCCTAAGTGAGGTTGCAAGATGCTTGAGAAAATGAAGAGACTCAGGTATGGGGCTGAGAGAGGAGGAAGTGAGTATTGAGGAAACTCAAGGAGGGAACCCAGGAAGAGTCAGGAGTACCTAAATTCTGACCCCTGCAGCTGTAGAGGTTGGTTTACTCAGCCGAGGTGGGATTGCGATGGAAAAAAATTACATATTCACTTGTTAGAAAGTTCTTGTGTTATGTAGACAGGTTTATTTTCTAGGGAGATTTCAGGAGAAACTAGAGAAACTAGGGAAGCAGGTGGAACTTAGGGGAATACATTACAAAGGCAAGGACGAGAGGGACAGATCCCCTAAGTCTGCCCCTGAGGTTGCTGAGATCTGAAAACATGAATATTCCTTGCCTGTCTCTCCATGCCCCACCCTCCCCAAGCCCCCATAAATAGAAAAGGGGCAAAGGTTCCTTGGAGAAGTTAAAGCTTTGTGAATGGAAGGGTTGGAAGGGGGGAAAAGCACAGGAGTGTAGAAGTATACAAAGAATATTCCTTAGGCCATCTTTCCAGGGCTGTGGCTTTGATGCCACTGGGGCCAATCTCACTTTACCCTCTCAGGACTTAGAGCCTCCAAATATGAGAGTTCTCTCTAAAAAGAGAAGCAGTCCTAGGGAAACAGTCTCAAGTCTACATGCATTGCGCTGAGCTCACCAATTGTCTATTGTTTCATAGATTTGAGTTTTCAGAGCCCACCCCTAAAAGGGCACCTGGTTTCCTCTCAAACTTTCAGCGCTATGCTGCCTCGTTGCAGCCGCTCCATTTAACCATCTTTGGGTGTGAATCGTTGATGGGAGATGGAAACAAAGCCTAGACCTTCTCACTAACGCTTTAGAATTTTTTTTTTAATTAAAATATATTTTGTTGATTTTTTAACAGAGAAGAAGAGAGAGGGATAGAGAGTTAGAAACATCAATGAGAGAATCATTGATCAGCTGCCTGCTGGGGATGTGCCCACAACCAAGGTACATGCCCTTGACTGGAATCAAACCCAGGACCTTTCAGTCCGAAGGCCGATGCTCTATCCACTGAGCCAAACCGGTTTTGGCGCTTTAGAATTTTGAACATTGTTTCTTAAAATTCCCTACACATCATCAGGCCGATGTGCTCAGTGGTTGAGCATTGACCTATGAACCAAAAGGTCACAGTTCCATTCCTGGACAGGGTACATGTCCAAGTTGGGGCTCCACCCCCTAGTAGGGGATGTGCAAGAGACAGCCAATCAGTGATTCTCTGTCATCATTGATGTGTCTACCTCTCCCTCTCCCTCTCCCTTCCTCTCTCTGAAATAAATAACATGTTTTTAGAAAATTCTACACATATCAAGAAGTACCCAAATATTAGCTATTATAAAATTCCATACAGAACAAAACAACTTAAAAATATAAACACCACAGTAGAGCCAGGTACCATTTTAATTAACCTCCAGAAATTTCCCCATCTCATGTAAAGGTGTGAAAAAAAAAATCATTATTTTTTTTAATCCTAAGAGCTGGCCCCACAGTTCCTCTTGGGAAGGGTGAGGAGGGAGCTGTCTCCTGGGGTAGAGCTGTTGATGAGCTTGCAGAGGGAGATGACACCTCGAGGGCTTGAATGTATGGGGCACCCCCTTCAGAGGAGAGAAAACCTGCTCTGCTGGAGATTCAGGAAGTTTGTGGTTTCTGCTTTTTTTGAGGGCAGGGGAGGAGGAGCAGAGGGACAGGGGAGAAGAGAGGAGAGAAAAGCCCGCTTGGGTCTAGAAGCTGAGATGAGGTCAGGAAGAGACACCTGGAAGGTGTTAGACAGTGATACCACCCATCCGATCAAATGTATATGCTATTGCTGCGAAGTAAACCCTGCCTTCCATCTCTGTAGTAAATTGTACTCAATTTGCACAAGGAAGCAAGATCTCAGAAGTCTAGGAGGCCAAGAAAACAGAAGTCCTTTGGGGACACTTCACAAAAACTTGGGGGTGGGGGTGGGTTTGGGACTTCCCAGGCCCCCAGCTGACATCTTGGTTCCCGTTCTTTTTGTCTTTTTCCCACCAAATTAAGTATAAAAACAAAAACCTTTTGTCTCTCACTGGACTTTTGCTTGGAGGTTAGACATCTTCACTTCCGGTTCTGATTTGGGCACAGATTTCAAAAAGCTTGCAGTTTCAGAGCATTCATGGTAATACAAGTACCCAAAGCCTGGCGTGGCCTGCTTACTCTAATTGCCTTAGATAAGACCTTATCTCTTCCTGTGCTCTGCCAAGCCCAGCCGCTGCAGTTACCTCCTTCACCTCTTTCCAGGATCTCTCGATTCTGATGATTTAAAATGCTTCTTGCCCAGCCGACGTGGTTGAGTGTTGACCTATGAACCAGGAGGTCATGGCTCAGTCCCTAGTCAGGACACACAACCGGGTTGCAGGCTTGATCTCCCATTGGGGGCGTGCAGAAGGCAACTGATTAATGATTCTCTCTCATCATTGATCTCTCTCTCTCTCTCTCTCTCTCTCTCTCTCTCTCTCTCTCTCTCTACGGACTGAAAGGCTCCAGGTTCAATTCCAGTCAAGGACATGTACTACGTTAGTTGTGGGTGCATCCCCCTCACTCTCCTTTCCTCTCTGAAATCAATAAAAATATATTTTAAAAATAAAATAAAATGTTTCTTTAAGCTTTCTCACTCTCCCCGGCCTCTCCCCCTCCCCCAAGCTCAAAAGAGGAGGGAAAAGAATTCTACTCCAAAGTGATTCCTGGTTCCTGTCATGGAATGCATGATGGTTTATGAGTCAGAAAACCCAGGTTTCTAGCTCCAGCGCTACCTTTAACTCAGCAGTCACTCAGCCTCTCTGAGTTTTCCTTTCTCCGTGTATAAAATGGAAGTTGGATTCCAACACCTCACAGGTCCGTTCCAGGCTGATGTCTGATCTATGGGCCCCCCTAGCTTCCTTCCATGTTCCCTCCCCTCTCTCCTGAGACCTGAGGGTCACAGCTGGGACTGAAGCTACTTTACACAGGATAGCCAGAAGGTTCCATTATCCCGAGGCTCCTACTTATAAAGCCATATAAACAGGTTTCTGTCTCCCATCTTTTCCTTGGAACTTTGGAAACTACAATGAACTGAAATAGAAGAATTTAAAAAAACACAGTTATGCAGGGGTTTCCTTGCAGGCAATATTTAATAGACTCTCATTTCTGGTGAACTCTCCAGGTGTTTTATCAAGGTTTTTTTTTTGTTGTTTGTTTGTTTGGATGTGCAGAACTAAAAATATCTATGGGAGAGATTTTTAATTATTCAGCTCAGTCAGTGCAATCCTTGAGAATTCCATTGGGAAGAAAGAATATGGGCTTTGCAGACAGAGGGATCTGGGTTCTTTTACTAAATGACATGCATGACTTTCAATAAGTCATTTAACCTCTCTGAGCCTCCGTTTCATTTGTTAAATGGGACTATATTAAGTACAATACATGTTTATGTGTCGTGTCCCCCCCACCACCACCACATTCTATCTTATTTTTCACTTTGCTGACCAAGAACACAGGTTTGGTGCCCTAGCCAGTTTGGCTCAGTGGATAAACCATCGGCATGTGGACCAAAGGATCCGGGTTTGATTTTGGTCAAGGGCACATACCTCGGTTGCAGTTTTCCTCCCTGGCCTGGCCCGGGCCCTGGTGGGGGCGCATGCAGGAGGCAGCCAATTGATGTTTCTCTCACATTGATATTTCTCTCGATCTTTCCCTCTTCCACTCTCTCTACAAATCAATGGAAAAATATCCTCGGGTAAGGTTTTTGTTTTGTTTTTTTAAAGACCACAATTTTGGGACTTACACAGCCTAAGTTCGTTGCCTGATGCCACATTTTAGCAGCTCTTTTTTGAGTCTGGCCACGTTATTGACCTCTCGGAGATTGTTTTCTCAGGTGTGAAACGGAATTAGTAACAGCACTCACAGGGCTGGGAGGGGGGTGTAAAGCACTGAGCAAGGCGCCTCCTCAAAGCAGGCGTTCAGTAAGCAGTGGCTAGTGGTGGGGCAGCACCAGGTCCACAGTGGGAGGCAGAGAGCAGCTGCCCAGGAGGGCCTGCCCGGCAGCCGGAAGGAGGCTCCAGCCTTTGGAATAAGCTCTCTTTCTTGCTTTTGCCTTTCCTTCTCCAGTTTTCTTTCTCTTCTCCCTTTCTCTTCTAGTTTCCACTCTGTAAAACATGCTTGCGCCTATACTAGTATGAGATTTTAACCAGATATTTTCTTTCCCTGCCAGGCATCTGTGCCATCTTATGCCTGTGAACACACAGGCTTCTGCACTGACACCTGATCTGGGGTGTCCGGTGAGTGGGTGGATTCTGTGTCATGTGCACCCACTGCTTACTAACTATAGCGCTGGCTCTTAATGTCTGATACCTCAGAGGAGAAAATGCCTACCTGCTAAGAATCTTGGGGGCAAAATGCACCCTCAGGAAGAACCCCACGGAGAGTCTGCATTTCTCCTTTGTCTGTAAGAACATCATTTGCTTGTCCCGTCTTGTTGCCTCTTGTTCTATCACGTTAAGATAATAAATGACCCTGGCGTTTCCAACAGGGGTGATTCTACCTGCTTCTCTCTCGCTGACTAGACTGGGGCCAGATGCTGCTTGATTTTATTTAAGAGCTAAAATTGGCTTCTCTTCAGGATCTACCAGAAGAGAAGAAACGTGTTTATGGGCTATGTAAAGTTATT